ATGTCTTCTTAGAATGAGCACATTGATTGAAATACAGAAAATTTGGGAACCCTATCATGCTGTGTATTTTCTGAGTTTAAAACAATCAATTAATATGGATAAAAAAATCAACACTGGGTGCTACAGAAGACTGGAAAACACATAAGGAGTTCTCATTCTTCAGAGTTGTTATTTTTTACATTTTGCAATGAAAGAGTAAAATAAGAAATATTCAGGTACCCAAGTAGATCCTATCATAGTTTACTRATATATGAAGGGCATTTCTTAATAGGTGCTAACAGACAGGTTCTCAATTGTGCATGAAGTTACACTTTACTAATGCAAATGACTCATTAAAAATTCTAATACTTTCATATATTCAAGGATATCCATATCTACATATACAATATGGACGTACATTTTAYTCAGGTCTAGGTCTAAGACTACCCACGTCCACATAAATCCAAGACCTTTACCTACTTTACATGTGGAGTGTGAACTTGCACTCATTCTCAAATCCAAATTTCATTGCCCATTAAGCCCTAATTAGTTATATGCTAATGATTTGGGGTAAACAAATGGTTTAGTTGTAAAATCACAAAAACTTGGCATCTGGTTTCATAACTATTTCCTAGTAAATAGCTATTTCCTCTCTTAAATTAAAAAAAAAATTATAATTCATTTTTAGATGAAATATGGTGAAGGATACTCAGGATTCAGTCTTCAATATTAAATGGTAAAGGATTATTTATATTTTATTTCACTAAATTAAGCATTTATTTACAATGGACTAAGTTCCTTTTCCGAGGATATTTTCAAAAGGGATACTACTAGGAAGATAATTGGCCTCAGATCATTATTATCATTCTATACTCTTTGTAGGAAACAGTAGCTCCACCTACTTTCCTACTTTTAAGGAATAGTAAAAAAATAATAATAATAAAAATAAATTACTTACAGATTCTGATGGCCTTGGGCCAGACAATGGAGAATAATTAATTCTGTATTGCTGTACTGGACCTGGAGCTGGTTCCCATCGGACATTCATGCTGTTCGGTGTGGGGTTATAAACTTGAATATTTCTTGGTGTTCCTCTCTCCACTAGATCAAGGATAATTTAAGTTAAGTTTTACAAAGCTGATTACTTAAGAATGATCTATTTCTACTTGAATTTACTACTGCGTGAAAAATTACCCRCTTAAGAGAAGCACAAAATACACATTTTAGCTCACGCTGGCATTCAGATCTCAGACTCCTGGAAAATTTTATACATGTTGCATGGACATCAACATGGATTAACACCASTACTTGCCAGTTACAGAATTACAACCACAACCAAGCAGGTGAACAGAGTTTCTTACACTGATGTCTTAGGTTGGGAGAAAAAAATTTCCACAGTTGACGTAAAATGAATGAGAATTCCTCARTTTCAGTTGGTTTGAGTCACTTCCACAAAAGTCCTAACACATTATTAAAAGGACTGTTTTACTTACAAGTTCTTCCAGTATCAGTCGTACGTCCACCATCCCCTTCTGAGAAAACTGGAACCACAGTAACAGTATAAGGTGTGTTGGACTCAAGAGACCTCAGGATGACGTAGTTTGTGTTTCCTGGTACTGTGGTCTACAGATTTAAAAAGAAAGGTAGAGCTGCAGCATTTATATAAAAAACACAAAAAGATAGATTTGTCGTATCTCCCTTACTGATGAAACTGATTTTAGATTATTCTACACTTATGTTCCCACAAAGGAACATAAGCTGAAATTAATATCAAATTACATTTGATTCAGTATGAGTTCAAATATATATATTTTTTAATACTTACATCCCTGATTATAGCTGTATCTCTACAATCCAGCACAACAGATTACAATCTCCTGTCCTTTAAAAACAGGGCCCTTCACCACATCTCATTTGTAGACTGGATATGACAGAATCTTTACCAAAGACGAATGCAGTTGAAATTTGAAGTGACAGGTATCTTCTGGAATTGGCTTTCAGGAAAGTTCTGTCTTGGACAGTATTTGTTACCTACAGATGTTCTCACTTTTGGGTCCAGATCGTGTTCTACTACTATCAGTAACAGAATCTATAGTGATCTCTCTAATTACAACTATTTAACAGCTCAGAGACATTAAGAAGTCACTTTCTAAATCAAATATAAATTGTATAATACAATATGTAAATTACAAGAATTAATAAATTTATCATGTTAATAGGTAGAATTCCTTAGCATTTAGAAATATTTAGTTATCAGAAGCAATCCAGATGTTTTTTGAAATAGTTCTGAGTGATGTCCTCCTTGTTTAACAAGCACATCAGATTGCACAGATATAGAAAATTAAGCCCAAGCAGGAAAGAATAATATTTTCCAATCTACAATGAGGGCAATCCAAACCCATTTACAGAATGGTTTTATCTTCTAATTACTTTAGAAGACTKTATTAAGACACTCGCATGGATTTTTATGCTTCAGCAAATATCAAGTCAGGTGACTGCTTACAGTCCCATGACTACTTTAGAAGTAAAAATGGGTAGAAATTAGGTCTTCTGACTTTATAGCCCTAAAAACAGCTTTAGACCAACACACTTTAAGAGTCATAGACATAAAGCTGTGGCAGTAATTCCTGTTCTAAGAATTAATCACTGATGATCTAATATATTAAATCAAACATTGGTATTGCATATGGAATATGTAACTTTGCTCTGCAAAGGTGCTCTTCAATTGCTCCAGGGTGGCTAAGAAYAGAAAACAAGCAAATAAGATCCATCTCTGTCAAGGGGATCATAGACTGTTCTTTATCTAAAATAGCCAGTTAGATCCACAAGAAASACTTACCATTTCTTCTGCACCTCCAGCTGTAGGCACATAAAACACTTTGTATTGACGAGGACTTCCTTCTGCATGATCCCATCGTACATTCAAAGTACTGGTGGTTGGGTCATAAATTCGCATGTTCTTCACAGTGGTGAGAGGTTCTGAAATWGGTCAATGTGTGGTCAGAAATGTGGGTTGCATTCTCTCATGGGTGTATGTCAGATCATGAGTATGCAATATTTAATTATAAAATTTTAAAAATTAACTGTTTCACTAGTTTATGTTAAATGTTGTCTTCATTAACGAGAATTCATCAGCCCCATTCAAAAGCAACAGGAATATTAACCACAATTAAAAAAATAATAATAACAAAAAGCTTATTTCTGGATATTATTTTAGAATGAGAAACATGATTGCATTAGGATTATTTTATTAATTTCTCACCRTGAACACTCTTTTATCTGACTTTCCATAGAAGACTGAAAAGTAAGCCAAATGTTAACTATTAGTTAATAGAACATTTATCTTATATTCCCAAAGTGTGTATCATAGCAAATCACTTAGTGCTTTCTGTAGGAATATCAAAACAATACTACCATCACAAAACTGTACAGTCTCAAAGAGTACACTGTAAAGAACAGTCTGTTAACTGAAGGTGCTAATAGAAAAGCAGTAAATGTTTACTTAACAGCACACCATCAGCTAGTAGTCCATGGTTTCTTTGCAATGAAGTTTGTTTGGAACTCTTATATATTTCAGCTACTAAAATCTATCCAAACACAAACAACTAATGTAAATGGGATGACTTTCACCATAGGAAATCTGTCTCAGCTAATCTGAAAAGCAATACATCAGTTTTGTTTCACATCGGGACTGAACGACAGACCTTAAGAGGAATGGCTGAGGGTTACTTAGTCTGGAAATGAGGCTCAGAATAGACTTTATCACTCTCTACAACTACCTGAAAGCAGGTGGTACTGAGGCAGGGCTAATCTCTTCCCCAAAATAACTACCAATAAGACAAGAGGAAATTGTCTCAAGGTGCATCAGGGGACGTTCAGGTTAGATATTAGGAAAAAWTTCTACATGGAAAGAAACAMATGCAAGAAATACAAGCATCAGAACTGTCTGCCCAAGAAGATGATGAAGTCACTGTCCATGGCAGTCTTAAGGGATGTGAGGATAAGGCACTTAGGGGCATGGTTTAACAGGCATGGTTTAACAGGCATGGTTTAACAGGCATGGTGTTGAAAGGTTTACAATTGGACTCGGTGATCTTGAATCTGTGATTCTCTCATTTTATGATCAAGATACTTACTGGTTCTGCCTCGGCCTGTCATTCGTCCCCCTTCGCCATCAGCATACATTGATGACACAGTGATAGCATATGGTGTGTCAGGCTGCAGCTTCTGTATCACTACGCTATTCTGCCGCCCTCCAACCATAGTCTGCAATAGGACAAACCAAAAAGATTAAAATCACCTTTATGCTAAATCTTTCCATTTTAGTCAAGAACGCAACTATTTGATRCAGAGCAGAAAACACTAGGATTTGTCATATCATGCAAAACTCTTGTGACTGAAACTGACAGTAGACATTGAACAGAAATAATGTTCAGTAAATACCCATTTTAGCTAATTTAGACAGAGTCCAGTGAYACAAAGCTGGTATTTTTTTAAGACTTCTAAATTTGCATGTAACTACAATTACACATGAACTGTCAGTCTGTTCTACACTAGTACAGAGCTGTTTTCACCACACTGCCTCTGAATATATCCTATTGAGTTTGGTAAGTGCTTTATTCACTKTGATAGTCTCTAAATTTCGCTTATTATGCTCCACTCTCAGGTGCAACACAAGGGTGGAACAAGCTACAGATCTCTAAAGTACATTTTGTGCAATAACAATACTGTCTCTCCTTGATTTCATACATTTCATAGTATGTTGGTTCATTAATAATTGTTCTAAAATGTTTTTGTTAAGAGTATAAAAAGTACTGTACATCTTTCAATTTTACTTCAATATAAAACTGTTGATAAACATACATATCACAATTCCCATTAAGGAAAAGACTTAGCAAATGGGAATTTTGCACCTGCTCAAGGGCATCTTTTTTTTTCTTTCTTTTTTAGTACTATCTGCATATTCTCAAAGTCTAGTTAGTTCAGGCAGTTATAGCACAATACTTAAAATATGTCTAAAATAATGAACTCATAATGAGAAAGTATTTATGCACCTTCACTTTACATTAGAATCAGATTTTTTAATTTATCAGGAAAATTCATTTGTATTCAAGCGTCCATCACTCAGTTCAGTGTATAAACTCTTTGAGCTTTCCATCATGGCGGCCTCCACATTTTAGTAAAATCTGACTCCAAATTACCATGATGGCCTCAATACTTTGATATGCYGGTTTTGTAGACCTGTCTTCAAATCACCTTTGCTCTCTTCTGGTCCCAAGACCATCAGACATCAGACCAATCTCAGAGCAATGAAACCTTTTAGAAATTCCATTTTAAATATTTCAGCGGGGACACTGCTACAGTTTCTCCACTAACAACAATTTAATCAAATGCCACAATCATAAGGAAGGGGACAAGAAATTGCTKTCCTATGACCAAGAATCACAAAAGATTAACATTCCATTCCATAAAGACAGTATGAATGTTCTGTGCGCTTTCCTGAGAACAGAAGTGTCCTCACCAAAGGCTACTGCTTGGCTTTCTCTCTAGATGAAAACAACTAAATCTAGTCCACTTTCAGTGTCACTACCCACATTTCCACAGAATGATCGTTCTTTTTTCACTTCAGCAATTACAGGTCACACTCGTCGGATAACATGACTATTTAATTAACCTCACTGCTATCGATATCTCACTGGAATTGCACTGACTGTCCAAAAAATTGCCTGTGAGATCTTTGTGCTTATCTCTAGGCTTTTCTCAGACATATTGTTTCTTAGTACCATTGGTCTGAATTTAAAAAAAAAAAAAAATTACTTCAACTCAAATGCTTGCTGTTCAGAAGAGCATACAAGTAGAACTGGGTGTGGAAGCATCCAAYCAAACCTAAAGTAAACATGCCTAGATATGCTTCTGAACATGTAAGATCTCAGATTACAGTAACAAGCTAAATATGTGTGGTTTTCTTCTGAGGCTCTTCCCATGAGTCACGTGGCAGTAACCACAACAGCCTCCTACTGCAGATTAAGTATCTTTAAGTAACACACACTTTTGATAAACAGACTGATTGAATTACCRTTCCCAGGCCATATTGCTTAGACCACCAGCAGTCTGCACAGCTCATGCTGACAGTCRAGTGAAAGCTGCCTGATCATGTGATATTGGCTCCCTCCCATCATTACAGCTGTTCAGTCGCATTAAAATACACTAAAATACCTTAAACACTACCCTAAAACACATTTTCCATGATCTAGCTTTTGCAACTGCCATTTCTTGTTGGTTATTCTGTCTCTAGTATGATAAGCAAGGTTAACATACAGTTCAGGGCTGTCCACTGTAAAACCCATGGCAAAGCCCATCTGACAGCACAACAGTGCTCATTGGAAAAATAGTGAAAAAAAAAAAAAAGAAGAACGTGAAAGAGAATAAAAAAAATAAAAAGAAGTGGTAACATGTACACAGTTACTATAAATAGAAATCTTCCTCTAAAATACAATTAATATATGCATTGCTAAGCTTTGGAAATAAATTATCTCATTATTTAATTTACAGGTAGGTTTAATAACAAGGTTTAATAACTATAGCATTTTTGGATTAGTTACCGATTGTTCAGGGCCATCTCCGCTGATAGGCTGGTAAATGATCCTGTATCTCTGTACTCGACCACTGGCAGGATCCCACTTCACAGTCAAACTGTGTGAAGTTGCATTGTACACCTGAAGGTTTCGTGGACCACTCTTTGGGGCTGAGAAAGGCAGTAAAGCATAAAATAAACATAATTAAAGGAAAAAAAGGCAAAGACAAATACTGCACTCACACTTTTAGGGCTGTATGAATGTTCCACCAAAAGCAGAATGTATTAAAAATAAGAACAAGACAACACAAATCGTAATGTTTGTAAAACAGTAAACATGTGGCAATCCAGTGTTTAGCATTCCTCCAAATACACGATGTTTAATAAACAATCTCATCTTCTTAAAGTCAACATTCTGCTCATTCTAGAAAAAGACAGGTTTCTTTAATATCATACCTGGAAATTCAGGTTCTTACCTGGTGTGGTTATAGGCACCAATGGTACTAGAAAAAGAAGTAGAAAGTGTTTTCAGACTCTTGCATGTGGTTGCCTTCCAGTTTAATAACTATGAATAATAAAATGTAGAAATCCTCAAATTACTTACATGTCCGTTCACTTCCAATCAGGTCATCACTTTCGGATTCATCAGGATAGATGGCAGTAACGGAGACATCATATAACGTATCTGGATTCAGATTTTCGAAGACCAAACTATTCTCATCCCCATTCAAGATGGTCTTGATTAGAAGGGAAAAAAAAAAAAAAAAAAAAGAGAGAGAGAAAGAGAGAGAGAATGAAAGAGACAGAGGGAAAGAGAGAGAGAAATAAGTAACAACACAATACAGTTTTACACAGTAACATCACAAGTGACTATTAAACATTGTATTTTAGCTCCTCTCATAGAATTTCCAAGGAGCACAAAAACAATGCTTCCCAGGCATAAGTCATTAATTAGATTTTTGATCTTAAAAACACATCCTACAAGACACTGCACCCAAAAATCCTATTCCCATTCACTCCTACCTCCTGCTTTTCAGAGCTTCCATAGGGTCCCCAGGTTATTCTATACAGAGACACATCTGGAGCTCCATGATCCCAAGTTCCTCTGAAACTGTGCTTAGTTACATCTGTGATTCTGAGATTGACTGGAGCTGGTACAGGTTCTATTATGAGAAGAATAAAAATACACTAAAAAATGTAACTGCAAAATGAATATAGTTAAAGCAAATAATTGCTCAGATAAATAATTTAGAAAATAGTCTTCTATAGGAATTTCAGTTGTCAGTTACTATGCTTCGAACAACCACCACAAAATCCCATTGTGAAACTCAGCAGTAATGCATTATAATACACACTCCTTAAATAGAATCTAAGATAAAAATATATATAAGCAGAGCTTTTAGGAAAACTCACGAGTGACAGCTTCTGCAGATATTGGTAGAGACTCCCCTTCATCATATACAGCAACAACTTTTACATTATACAGTGTTTGGGAGGAAAGGTCAGTAAGAGTTGTGCTGGTTTTGGATCTGTCAACTTCCACCTAGGAGTAAAAATAATGGGTTAAGAATTATAAGTTGTTTCATTTATGACCCTGTGTTTAAATTTTGAGAAAGAAAATGTTTGCACTAAATTTTATTATTTTGCCCTACATTTACACCTGAATGCTGAGAGTCTGCCATTGCAAAGTATATTGTCCCACATGGCAGCAAACTACTTCTGGCTGTTTCACTGCTTCATTTATTTTGCAGAAGAGGATGCAAATTGCAACTCCAGAAAGTTCTCATTCCCTTGTAGAAAAAACATTTAATCCCCAAAGAGTTGGTTCATGGATAGCAGTGCACTTATGGAAGGTTGCACATAAAGAAAGGCATCTGTAGCAATGCTCATGCATGTGGTGTCAGTGAGGAGAAGTGCTATCACGCCTCCTTCGATTCACAAGCATGTTCCTCCTAATTGTACACTGTTCCTAAAGCTTGGCATATTAACAGTCATGGTGCAGAAATGGATACATCACAAGTGACTGAATGGATATTTATCAAAACACAGAACTCCCTAGAGGGTCTGAGACCTTTTCCCCTTCCTTATGATAAGGAGGGGAGCATGTGAAGAATCCTAGCCCTAGCTTATTTAGCTCCCAAGACATCCATACCCTTTCTCAACTGATGTTCCCTATTGTCAATGATGACTTCTAGTATTACTTTTAAATTATTTTCATAATCCAACTTCTCAAAAGAAAATTCTCTTCAAATATTTGCAAAAATGTTCTTTTTCCTTACCTCCTTTATGTCAGCTTCTTCAGCATCTTTGTATCTTATGATGTATTTCCGAACTTTGCCTGGGACAGGATCCCAAAGGACATTCATTCTGCTATGAGTAACATCCCTAATTGTTAAGCCTCTCGGTCCAGGCAAAGGTACTATAAAAATAACAACAGTAGCGAGTGAAAAAGTTATTCATAAGGGTGATGCAAGCCTCTCACTGAATGAATTATTTTCATTCATTTAATACAAATGGCAGCAGTAACTTTCTAGGTAATTAATTGTTCCAGTCATTAGACTAGGAACTTAATTCCATCAACCATCATGATAGCTAAAAATTGTATTACTGTATTAGGTTCACCTTTGTTAATTATGAGCACAATACTTTTAGAAATATCAGTGTTTCTCTTAACAGTATAACTTTTGGTGACAAATTAAATTAGCCACTTTTCATGTATACTTAAGAGTCTAACATTGTTTAAGAACATAGGAATAACCATACTGAGTACATTGAGTCCAGAAACATGCCTGCAGCAGTAGGAAACGTATTAATTAAGGAAAGGTATAAAAAAAAAAAGGAATGTTTATATCAGTCTTTCTCTTAGTATGGTATGTTTCCTTCTTTGCCCCCAGGTTTTCAAATTCTATTAATATTTGGGGGTCACAGATTCATTGTACTTAAGTGAGCTCCTCTGAATTCAGGAACAAGGTTCCTAGTAGTTATTAATGCAAATAAAATTGAATCCCTTTTAAAAAACATAACCTAGAGACCATCAAATCAACTTTCTTCATTATTTAAGGAAAAAAAAACTCTTTTGTTCCTCTTTTAACAATTGGTTCACTTTCATTGAAATTTCCTTCAGGATACTTCGGATTCATAACTGTAAAGTAAAATACATAAAACAGAAACTTTGTTCAACCAATAACAAAGTAAAAACTGAAATGTGCATACACGTCACTTCTTGGGAGGTGAGTGGGTCGCTGGTGATATCGCCAAATAATACATAAGCAGTTAAAGTGTACTCAGTATTAGGGATGAGGTCTACCAGCTGAACCTCATTCACTGATGGTCCCATACGCATCTGCACATTTGAAAAAAAAAGCAAAGAAATGTTTAAAAAGCAAAGAAAACAGAGGCAGAAAGGAAAACAATGATTTAACTTAAAGGGAATTTTGTTTGTGAGATTTGTAGCATATTTACAGTTTCCTGACTGATGTCATTGTATACAGTATCCCAAGCAAGTTCACACAGCACTTTCAAGTAGTACATGCCGCTTTCTTTTGATTGTTATGATACAGAAAGYAAATCTATCATTTTTTTCTTAATTTTGTTTTGACAGAGTACAGGTAGTGAAGAAAATTTCTCTTACCTCTTTTTCTGCAGTTGGAACTGTGGCATTCACAGGTTCATATGTTAAAAGATAAGCTGTAGCTCCATTGAGAGGTTCCCATCTCACTCGCATAGAAGTTGGTCCAATGTCATAAACATTCAGGTTTCTAACTGAAGAGATTGGCACTGACAAATAAAAATATACATATTAATTTATTGCCATTACTGTTTATTATTTCTACTCTCTGTATCTTTCATATTTCCCAACACAGGTAGTAATACAGAGGACAGAGCATATAGGCATTGGAAAGTGAAGGGAAATTAATCCCTTACATTCAAGAATCTGGAAAAGGCAGAAAAGTCRCTCTTTGTTGCATTCAATATCAGCATACCTAAGATCACCAACATACAGAGCTCGCATTAGAAACATAATAGCTAACAATATAGAAAAGATGCAACTATTGAAAAATGCTTTTGTTAATCTTACAAAATTAGAGTGRATTTCATATAACATTTTGGTTTCTAACAACAAGAGTTAATAAATGAGTACAAGTCTGTTTATGATAACATTTCTGGAATTTATAATCTCCATCTTGTAACCAATACTTGCTGCTTTAGGCCAAGAAGGCTTGTACAGCAATTTCTTTACAAGTCTGGAAGGAGACCAAAGTTGGGACAAACATTTTTTACCATGCAGTAGTTTCTCTTAGCTACAATTTCTAAGTCAAAATCTCAATGACCAGTGTAACTCAATATAGTGAGCTCTTGGATTGTTTTCTATATATCTGATTGGTTGTTAATACATTATTCACATTATGATGCTAACTTACAAGTTGTTTCAGTCCCAATTAGAGGTTCACTGCTTTCATCTTCTACAACAGAAAACACGTTGACAACATATTCTGTTTCAGGTTTCAGATCTTTTAGAACTGTCGTAGTTTCCATCCGACTTACATAAAACTATGCAAATTAGAAGCAACATTAAGTAAGTGTTTACAACAAATGCATCTGTAATCTTATCTCTAACAAAAAAAAATCCTTGTGAAAATCCTCAGAAATTAATAGTATAGAACTAACAACAAGCATGGTCTTAATCTTCTATGCCTTTTGTCTTTACCACTGCTTTTGCCAACAAAGCTGTAGGGAAAGTTCAGGCAGACACTTTTTTCTACCAGGGCTGGCTGTATCTAGTATTACTCATTGTGCCTCCTGCTTTCACACATTGTGCACACATATATTACACAGCAACATGGACATGAGGRAAGTGACATAGATATATGTTACTACTTTGGAAAAGGCATTACACACTCAAGGTAATCTAGGTGGTTACAGTACGTGCCATTAGCAACATCTTGCAGAACAGAAATGGGAGCAGAGTCAAGCTGTAAAGGCAGTGTGCACTGGAATGGCTGCTTCAAATCTAATCATAAGCCAACTTCTGAGGTAATGACAAAATCTACAATAATTTAAAAGGTTGTGATTTAAAAGCCACATTTAGAGATGACACATTCTGAGYTAGGCACGTGCAGGTGCCTAACTCCGTTCTCCTAAACATTATTCCATCCAGTTAAAAAGAGCGATGAGCAATCGATACTGCCTAGTATCTAGGGTTGTCTGCTACTGGCTCTCTGTGTAGAGAAGTAGTCACTACAAAAAGAGCATGATCATATGCACTAACAGTTTGAATCTGTGCCTAAGCACATTCTCCAAAGTACTATTATACAATGCTCATCTAAAAACTACCTTGCAACCCACACAAGTCTACCCATGACTATGCTCAGAAAATTTCCACTGCRGACTCATTTAGACTAATGAAGGACAAAAAAATATGGACAGAAAGCAGTTACGAGAAGATCCCACTCAACTATTTTTAAAAATATATATTTAATTTCCAGATTAATAATTTTAAAACAAAGCCTGCTCCTCATTTTCATAATTTTGTTTCTGTTTTATAAAATAAGGTATTATTTATCTTGGAAGCCTTTTTCATTTATTGTTATACCATACACAGCCTAATAAGCATAAACTTCAGAATGGCATTGCTGTTACACAAAAGCCCAAGGTTRTGATGGCCAATGTCAGAGAAGAACRTGCAGCACTAACCTGCTGGGGTCTGCCTCCAGAGGTAGGGTAATATTCAACTCTGTATCTATCCACACTCTCAGAAGGTGGAGTCCATCTTAGTCTGAAAGAACGAGGTGTCACTTCTGAAATAACTAAGTTTGAAGGAGGTGGCAAATCACCTACAAGTGGAACAAATTAAAAGTCATTAATTTATTCTTATGTCATCAAGAATGAAAATATAAGTTACAACAACATAAAAAAATGTTTTTAGAACKCAGTCAAGGCATCAAAATCAAACATTTGAGGTATTTGCTCATGTTTCTGCTTTCTCAGGAAACTATTAAAAGAAATGTGTGAACAGACAGCTCATCATCACACTCTCAAGCCCATGCAAAGTCCCTATCCTTTCTACTCCACCCCCAATATCAGTGTTTCATCAGGGAACAGGAGCATTTCTCCATGTCAGGCTTTGGTTCTGAGCTGTCAGACACTTATACTTCAAAAGAGCAGAGCTGCTAAAATTTTCTTTTATTGGATAAGTATCATTAAAAAAGCTGCCAGAAMGAGCAGAAAGGTAACAAACTGAGCGCCATGTTTCCTGACTTGGGGAAAAAGGCAGGCACGTCCAGCCATGTCATGCTGTGCTAGGTATAACGCAGCCATTGTTTAAAGGAAAAGAAGAAGCCCTGTGGGTAGTCCAGGTGGTCTGCATAGCTTCCTTAGAGCAGCAGCTGAAAAAACAGCCCAGGGCTACACAGCATTCCCAGAAAGGATGAATTCTCTAGAATATGSGATGTACCTGGGCCTTTCACACTGTTGCACAGATTTGTGGTTACATCATCAACAATGCTAGCCAGGAAGGAGAAGTCGGCGACGTTGAATGCATGAGTGTCATCTGGATCCGTTGCAATCTGCTTCAGTTCATTTTCATCTGCATTTTTAATACCTTATGGAGCAGATAGGAGAATGAAACTTGTTAGAAGCAGCAGCCATGATACAACCTGCCATGAACATAACCCTCTAAACACATCCTTTTAATTCTCTTTTAGATACTTAGGTATCTTTACACTTCTGCGTATAGTTAGCCTACCTTTTCATACAATACTTACCAATGGCATAAAGTTCTACTCCCTCATCTCGGAGCCTTCTTGAAGGAGTGACTACATCATCTTGYGATTTGCCATCAGTGATGAGAACACCAATTTTGCGAGCTCTGGGCCTTAAGCCTGCATCTTGTCTGAAGTTGTTTTTTAAGATGAAATCCAAGGCCATTCCTAGCATGATACCAAGGAGATAACCATCATTATAAACAACTTTAAAACAGACATATACTATTTTGACATGACATTCAGCCATGATAAAAGAGAGTATTTCATCTTGTTCATTTTACTCTGACAACATCATTCCACAATTTACTTCCTTCAAGGCGCAGTCAGAATTCTACTGAAGTCCATCATATACAGTTGCCAGGAACCAGCTCTATTCCAGACCTTTCARGCCCTCTGATCTATTACCTTTTATGCATTATCTTCCTATGAGATTGTCTGTAGCCTCCCTTTTGGGCCTTGTCTTTATTCCAACCCTGACATGGAACTGCCTTTTCTTCTCATATGCCAAAATGCAATCCTGCAGACTTTCACCACCCAGTTCTTCTCAGATCTTCTCCAGGTTTCCATTAARGGGTCTCTATGCTTGTTCTCATCCAGGCATACCCAAAGTGAATTATAAGCCCCTTTGATCAYGTACAGATTCGAGCTCATTGAGTGATACTGGAGTCAACTAGGAAAACTTTTCTAATGTCACTTCTGGAAAATTTTATAATTGTTACATACCTGTTAGAGTATTTCCTCCTTTATATGGCAAGTTGGCTACAGCCTCTAACAAAGACTGCTTGGTTCTGTAAGCATTGAGGTTCCATTCCGTCCTGGGATCTCCACTGTACTGTGCAAGACCTGAAAGTAGTTGATTATTAAGCAGCAATGCAGCAGTTATGCTTCACCTACCCTCAGACACACATGGACTTACCAATCTGTACTTTGTCAGGGCCAATATCAAAAACTTCAACAATTCGGGCAATGAAGTTCCTGATAGTTTTAAAATTTGGTCGTCCAATACTCCAAGAGCCATCCACCAGCAGTACAATGTCAGCTTCTGCTCTGGTTCTACATTCTAAACCTGCCATACCAACCAGAAAAATATAATCTTAGCTACATCAAACCATAACAGTTTTCTTTCCCCAACCTCTTTTATATGACATATGTCATGAATTAGCTTCCAAAATATCTTTAGGTTTTTTCACTGGCACTCTGTCAAGTATGACCTATTTGTGAACATTATTCACACTAGTAACTTGTTCCAYGGCAAAAGCTGTATAAATTTTTTCATATATATATATATATATGTATGTATGTATTTCAGGAGTAAGACTTCTAAAATATATAGAATCACTGAAGTGTTTTTCTCTATTGTCATATCATTTTCTATATTGATCCTTGGAGATGGTTGAAAACCATCATATCCCTAGGGGGTTGTAAAAGCCCACTAAGTTAACCACTGATGTAGCAGTGAGCTTTATCMTACTGTTCAAATTCGGAGTATTTTAGTCTATAGCAATGGTTGGATAAAACTACTGCTCTCTTTTCAACTACACAGTAACGGAATTAATAGCATGTAATACAAACACTTTCAAATAAACAGCATTTCTGAATTTGAAGGGGAAAACAGAGTAATACAAAAGGTACAGAAGTTKGCACATATAAGAAAGAAAGAACACAATTTAGAAGATATGCAAACATAAACACAGGTCAAGAGAAATAGAGGCAACAAGAACAAACATTTATATAAAGCTGCAATGTTCTGAAAAGGTAGAAAGTTATTTCAGGTATCTTYGGATTACAAATTACAGAATAGAATATATATCATTTTGTTTTCAGCACAAAAATATCACAAAATATTTATACAAAGTAGTAAGACACAATTATTTTATCAGCAGCCATTTGCAAAGAAAAAAAAATCCTTGCTCTCTCTCTTTTCTTGGAGATTGTGTTACCAGCTGCAAATTCTCTGGCTTCCTGCCATCAGAGCTTCTGGTCTTTATATGGAAGAAATCCCATTGAGAAAAATCAGCCACACTCATCACAGTTGAAAGACATTGTGATTTCATATATGTTCCACATAATTGATCCAACACTGCAGACTCATGAACATAACTACTCCATGTACCTGGRGGTTAAAAGCATGATCCTCTTCTGCAGAAAATACAGATCTAGTCTTTAATCAGGACAATAAAATAGACTGGGTGTAGGGTTTAAATAAAATCATGTTAGTTCAAAAAACTGCATGCATAACTTTAATATGGAAGTTAAGGTTAGCTTCATGTACAATCTAACAGTTAATCCATTTTGACTTTTATTTCCCCTCCAGCTACCGTAGTTCCCCWAAAGGAAAATTCTAGCAAAAGAATCAGACCTGGGGTAACTTTTTCCCCCTATTAATATATAATGTACTGTTACCTTTACAGCCCCAGATATAAAATTAATTTTTCGCATTAACCATGACTCAAATCCATGCATTAGTAAAACAAATTACCTTAAAGATAATAACACTGAGGAAAAAAATGACAGCTACAGTAATAAAAATAACAAACCACTCTTGATGCAATTATTYTTCTGCCAGAATTAATACAGTTTTATTCAAATATCACTGATGGCCTGTTATGTAATTTTTCTCAGTTTTACATTATTGTATAAGACTGCAAAAGGACTGCAATAACTTCAGCAGTTTCTGAAAATGTTATCAATAAAATTTTCACCGGGCTTTTTATATAGCCCAGTGTAAAATGAGGGCATCAAAGTTACAACAAAATAATATGGAATCAACTGAATGCTGTACTTAATAGTCAGGAACTGCATTCTTTAATTAACTTTCAAAAGTCTTTGCAGTTAGGTTCTTTTTAAAAAATTCTCTGTTCTCTCTGATCATCATGCAAAACTTGAAATGATCTGAACTTCCTGCTGTATGCCTGGCTATTAAGAAGCAAAGACCTGCTGCAGATAAGTTCTTCACACCTTCCATGCGTGAGGACAAAGTCCTGAAATTCTATTTGCCCAGTGTTATCCAAAAATATGTTTGGCATAGATGTTCAGTTCACTTGCAGTTGCCCATTACCCACACAGTGGGAGATGTTAGCATTAGAATTATAGATCCTTTGGTCAGAAGGTTCAGCTACACAGGGAGAAACCCCCAAACAGACTGGCGAATACTCCGYAATTGCACATCTGTATTAAGCCTTTTCTATCTATAGCATAAATAACATTATTTATGCAACATTTATGTTCCACGTAAATCTAAAGAATATACCAAAACTCTGAGCCTTCCTCAACTATGAGCTCTTTGCCTATTTTATATTTATTATATCATAGTCTAAAAAGGAAAAGTCATCACATAAGGATAGTCAAAGAGCAAAGCTCTGCTTTAAATTCTTTGTTCTACTCCTATGAGACCCTACTAGACAAGCCATGATCTCTATTCAAGAATTTGACCTTATGTAATTTAACACAGATGTGGATGGCTTGCAAAATGCTATGCAGCTGGCTTTAAGTGATCAGCAAACAGGGTTTGCAAGAGCGATCATCTCCGTAAGATCATCTGAAGGGTGTAGAGGACTAGAATCATGAAAGAGGGAACACTCAGTGGTCATTTCAGACCAGAGGTTGTATCATGAGAGTGGGGAGTACAGTGAATCCTGTAAATAAATATTTACATGCATTACAAAAATGATAAGGAAATGCTGATAAACACTTTTGATCTTATTTTTATCTGTAATCTAAGACTAGATTTTCTTCAATTGAATTATGTTTACCTCTAGATAGGAAGGGCTCTGTAGTAGTATCTGACAGAGTGGTCATCTCTTGTCCAACCAGAGGGCTGCTCTCTCCTCCTTCAAACATTCCAAAAACATTTACCTTATAGGTAGTTCCTGCCCTGCAATAGTTAAGGAAATGTACTGTAACTAAAGACACTTGGCGAGCCAAGCGCTGACACTTCACAGTGCTTAGTTACAAAGTCTTCACAGTTTTAGTCCACAGAAAAGAAAGTGCAAAAATACAATACTCAAAGACCAGATCTTCCATCAAAGCCATGAAACTCTAACAATTTAAGAGCTGTTTTTAGATCTGTACTTACAGAGTTTTTTCACTCCAGTCTTTTAAGACTTTAAATTATCCTATTTTTAATGCATTCACTTTATATGCATAAAATTCATAAAAGATTTTGGCATGTTATGAAGCTTACTTTTTAAATCCAGCTCTCCGAAAAAAGATATAGATCTGGAAGTAAACTAGTTATTTCTAATATAACTAGTTTATAACTAGAAAGAACCTTTGGGAGAAACTTTAGAAATCCCAGCTTTCTCCTCCAGTGTCCCATTAGCTCTCTGTTATGTGAATGCTGCCTCTGCCTACATCTTTAGCTCCTTTTGTTCCCGTGAGAACACGACAAATGATAGGGATAATCTCAGGAGAGCCCTGYCAGGTGCCTTTCAAAGACTTCATAGCGATATTCTTACAGCTTATTGCCAAAGCACCTCCTTATAGAGGATTTTGCAAGGCATTCCAATCCTCTATCATGATTAAACAAAATCTTAAGCTAAAGATTATTTTTTTAAGATAAGTTATTATTATCCATACCTAAGCTCCTCTAAAACCACTGTGCTGTCRTACGGCCCCACTATTAATTCTCCAAGGCTTCCATCATCTTCAGTAGGGTGAAAAGTTACTTTGTAACCCTTCACTTGCCCTGGGGCTGGCTCCCAGGTTACTCGGAAACTTGACATAGTAGAATCAGAAGTCCTAAGATTTCTAGGTGGCTTAAAGGGAGAGGCTGCAAAGAAAAAAAAAACAAGATTCAAATCAGATCTTCTTATGAAAAAATCAACAAGTATTCTTGAATGTAACAAGTATTCTTGAATGTAAAAATCAGTCAGCAAATTCAGTATTAGTGACTTAATTAGCAATGATTTTTAGACTTATAGCATACATTAAAAAAAATCTAAACTCTATGTTCTTTTCACAAGTATCAAGATACAAAAGACAAATTTCATTTCACCCTGCTTTGGGTATCCCAAAGTTAGGTATGTAGACTCTGCTATCTATGCTGCTTCTACAGTCAAGGAACAGAAAGACGGCCAGTTACATCCAACTGATCTTAAATAAATGTTGACAGTAGGTCAGCTGTCAGGTACATTGACACYTACTTTCTCTACTAATTATGGAGAAAAACTACCAGTTTAGACTTAGTTTCTCTTTTTTAAATGCCTCCAAGTAAGTGGAGGTTTACTATTGCACATCTTCCACGGGAAAAAATAAGTAACAGGATAGAAGGTAGCTATTTAGTCAATACCAAAGACCAAAAGGCAAACTTGAAAATGAATGACAACATGTGATGAAACAGTCTTCTAAAAAACAAGTCTTCCTCACAAGCTACCATAAATACATTCCATCTCATTTAATTTTGAGGGCAATGTTTAAAAACAAGTCTGATATTCTTAATCAGAGATACACTCTCAGTAKCAAACAGCAAAAAGTTGAGCTCAAGCCCTACAATTGAAACCTCCRACAAATCAATTTCTGTTCTCCCCTTTAACAATTTATTTATTTATTTATTCCGCTAGTTCCTGATCTTGGCAGACTCCACTATACTTTTTCCACTTTCTGCACTTACATTTTCTAAGCATAAAACCTTAATTATCAAATCATGTACCATTATACATACCTGTTGTTCCTTCTGCTTTTCTTGATTTTCCTTGTCCGAAATCATAAATTGGAACAACACTGAGGTCATACGTAGTTTGAGGCTTAAGGCGCTTCAACACTATGCTTGTGGCAGGAGCATTTACTCTTCCAAACATCTGCCTTCCTCCACTCCGTGGTCGGTAGTAAACACGGTAAGACAAGACTTTCCCAGGTGACGGCTGCCATGTAACTCTCATTGTATGCTCCGTCTCGTTGTCTACTGTCACAGTCCTGGCATTTGGTGACACTTTTCAGTGTAAAAATATGGATAAATATTTACTTTGTCACACAAAGATAAATTAAAATGCATGCCTACAGGATCTATTCACTTGTATTAAAAAAAAATCATGGATGCCTTTAAAATTACAGTATTTAATAGAGGAGAAGGTTTACTAGGGAGGGTTACTGAGGGGGRATATTTCCTTTATAATGTTAATGCCTTAAACAAACATAAATCTGTTTTCTACTACAAAGGAAAAAATAAAGGATGTTATGTAATGAATGATAGGATAATTAGGAGCTCTATGTAGTATCACTTTTCTGTTATCCAYTAAGAAATGCATTCAATATTCTCAAGCAAAAAGTGATAAATTATATAGTCATTGCTGTTTTACAGACACACTGCTCTAAAGAGGTAAGATCTTCTACACTTGAAATTTATGAGATGCGTATCTAATCTCCCAGGTGTCGGGCTCCATTCAACAGATTTTTCAAGCCTTTGGAAAGTTGGTCACCACTAACTGCAGGATAGTACCAGTGCTGAAATTAGCCACAGATTGCAGCACTCAGCTTCTAAAACACATTCCAGACTATACAAATGTTACAAAAGACCCGAAGTGACATAAAAGGTATGCAATGCTGGCTGTCAGCTGGATTGAACCATCTAGATTTTGGCAAGACAGAATCTTCTTGGCATACCAGAATCAGTCAGTATTTCATCACACAATAAGGTAAGCTTTGCAGACCACAGTATCCTCCTCAGTCTTAGGAACAGAGAATTTTCAGTTGTGTTTGCACCAGAAAGAAGAAATGTTAATTAACATCAGGTCTGGGTCTACAGATAGACCTGGCAGAGTCTGCTTGAAGGAAGCTACAGATTGCACAGTCAAGCTGCCAGCTGAAGTTGGAAAAGAAAGGACAACTAACACTGTTGTCCTTGCAAGTGGGAGGAGCTATGGTGGCTACCCTGGATCAAAGTGGGACAGCTCGTACCAGCTCCAGCAATCACTGCTCTTGGTTGGCCTTATGAGAACCTACACTGGGTCAAAGACACAGGTTCACCTCGTCCASTAGCCTGCCTCCAACAGTAGCCAAAAACAAATACCTAGGATGGAGTATACACAGTGCTTCCCTCAGAGCACTCCTTCATCTTCACACAGTCTTCTTCATGGAGTAGCAGAAACATCAAGGCTCATTCTCCTGGAACCTTTCCTTCAATCATTCATTTCAGTTTCTCTTCTTACTGATTCTTGCTATGCAGCAACAAACTACTACTGAGAGACCAGGGTCTCTCAGTGTTTCTCAGACTGCTTACACTGCAGAGAGGCTTGAGCCATCTTTGCCTTATGTTACCTAACATGCCAACAAGTAAGAAAAAAGAAGAGCTACAGGAAATGTGAATGGGAAATACCCAAATCACTCCCTGAGCCCACTTKTGAGGACTATGAAGAGCAGAAAGCAATCTAACATGAAAAGGAAATTGATTCTGTGGGACTTTAATCTACTTTTCTTCCTTACTCTACACAGCATTTCTTCCAATTTGTTTCCAGCAGTTTATGGGAGCCTAGCTTCAAATTAACTTTCAGACAAAATCACAGCACAAATCACTAATTGATATGAGTAATTCTTGCTAAATTCTAGTCTACAAGATGTAGAAATCACCCTTTCTCTTCTTTCAATGTTCAAACGAAAAGCCAGAATTCACTGATTTATGATGAAGTTTTGTTTGGAGGGAATTTTACACAAAATCAAGAAAAATAAAGCTAATTTTCATTCAGATCTGCTAATTTTTATCAAGAACAGAATGTTACAGGTGATGAGAATACAGTCTGACACTCACCATCAGTAAAAGCCTCTCCTTCTACAGGGTCTCCTTCTCCACTGCTGTAGGTTGCATATACTGAAATCCTGTACTTAGTCTCTGGCTCCAAGCCTTCCAGCACAGCATCCACTATATTTCCAGGTACTCTCTTCTCTCCCATTGTATCATCATAAAGTGATTTCCATACTATCCTGTAATCATGAACTGCTCCTGGAGCTGGTGTCCATGATAACCCAACAGTGGTGTCAGTTATGTCTGTGGTAACCAAGTTACGAGGTGAACCACGTTCTGCAAGAAAGGAAACAATAAATTAACACTATAATACACATAGTAAAAGCTAAAGYAATGCACAAATGGAAAAGTAAATGATCATAACATGGTATGAACCTTTTATATCAACACTAGTGCCAGTGAAATAAATTCATAGTTCTAGGAGAAAACTGAAGGTTTCATCCAACAAAACACTTAAAGATAACTTTAAACTACAAATAATCCCATCTCTTACAATGCAAGCTGCTCAGTCCGTTAGCTTTATAGTTTGCAAAAACAGTATTAAGTGAAAACTTTGAAGGAAATCAGTGTTTAAATGTGCCACAGCTTATTTAGGTAGGTTTTAGCTCTCAATTATATATTTTTTGAACATTTATCCTTCCGTATCTTCAGAYATATGTAAATCTCCCAAGGGCAAGTAAAAAAGACTTATGAACATACAATTTTCAAGCTCTTGGAGGATCTCACCACTTTATTTAATATCACTATTCTTACACTACATGTTTTTTTATCTACAGCTTTCAAAAACAGCCATGTTCATATTTATATATGAAAATCTGAATACCATATGAGATCCTTTAGAGATTTTTAAAGTTTTTCATTCCACTGCTGAAAAAGAAAGGAATAAGGAATAAGGAATAAGGAATAAGGAACAAGGAATAAGGAACAAGGAATAAGGAACAAGGAACAAGGAATAAGCCATGGTTTATCGACCAAAAAGAAACATGTTTAAACTTTTTTTTTTTTTGGCTTGTTTGTAAAGAAAAAAAAAACATGTCTAATTGTAACTACCAGAATTTCTACCTCTAAGAGCATACATGAGTAAAGCTAACTGGACACCTCAGGAGTAATAAATAAGCCATTCTATTTGGCTTTAGTGCAGCTTTGCCATTCTCATATCATCTTATCCTCTAATCCCAAATTAAGAACAATGCATTATTTTCCCATATCAATAGTGCTCAGGTGAGACATGCCACTGTTTACAGCTGATATCTTTCCAGCAGATGGGAATCGTGTTTGGCTGCTACTCTACCAATCTCACTCACCTCCCTGCATGCTGCTTACCAGATCTATCAGCTATTTCATTCTATCTGTTTGCAGATGGTGTGCAACAATGTGCAGCAGCTGCAGTTAACACAGTCTCCACTTCTGCTGCAGTAAGACTTGCATCTCTTTCCTCCCTATAGTTAGCTCCAGCCAGCCTGGAAGGAAGGAGGCAGCTGATCATAAAGCTGTCAGCTAGATGAGCACTCTTCCAATACACTAGAGTAGTTCCACAGTTCAAAAACGGCACATACTGGTCCAAAGTAGTGCAAAAATAGCAACGCCTCTGTTTAATGTTTAAMATACACTTATAACATATGTTCCATTTTCCTACTACAGCAATAATTGCCTTTTGCTGGCAGCAAGAAAGCACTGTTGGTCGTAATGCAATGGTCTCACTGTAGCAAAATTTGCCAAAGGCACATGCAAAAATAGATGCATATCCACATAAAAACACATTTTTTCCCCTGCATTCTCTGTGTCCTTTCTTACTGTACAGGATATTTCTGAAAGAGTGCTTTAGTGGCTTAGTGCTTAGCAGGAGGACCTAAACACTTCACATGGTCTCATGGCACCACAGTTAAGTTTTGCTTGCACTGATATTAATATAACTCCATACACATAAGCGGATTTAAAATTCTTTGAACAGACTGAAATTCAGTACCTAAACAATTTCCACTGCTTAGACTCATCACAGGCACAGATCCCACTGGTGTCAGAACCCTGGAGCAATTTCAATCTGAGAAAAAGGCCCAAGTTGCCCAGAGTTATATACTGCGTTTCCAGTTTTCATTTTCATTTACCTTTCAGTTCCACCACAAATCTACAACGCTTTCATACATAATACACCGGAATGATCAAGACTGCCTGGATAAAGGCTTATTTTGAAAGGTTCTTATTGCCAGCATGATCTCATTAAATTAACATCAGCCCATTGTAATATCAATGGCAATTAAATAAAGATACATCACATTCTCAAATCATCTAGCTGTCCCTATCAAATGTAGCTAATACAGCAAGTAATGAAATTGCTCTGTGTTTTTTTTTTAATTAATTTAGTCCATAGTCCCATGATATCTCAGAAGTTTTTCTGAAACTTTTAAATTCTTTCTTAGAATTTTACTCTTCACATTGATTTTTTTTACCCTGACAACATAAATCAGCACAATTTACAGCATCTTCTTTTCAGACTGACAGATATAGAGGTTTTGGTAAAGTTGAATTATTTATAATTTTATTTTAAAAAAAGGCTTTTATGTATAGTGAAAATACTATAGCGAAATGCCCAAATTGAGCTCATGCCTCAGGCAGTCTCACTGAATTCAGTGACTGTGTTAAATGAAGCCAGGGCAGATTCTTAACTCCAAAGACCAATTTTCCTGGAAGCTGAAAAAGAATTTGTCTTTGCAAGTAAATTACACCATTTTTTCTGTCTGCTCTTAAGCTTCTGCTCCCAAATCTTGACATTTTCATATAATAATAATAAAAAAGGCAGTGCAAATGGAAAAAATATGGAAAACCTAACTTGATAGAATGCACAGATGTCCCACAATAAAAAAACTTTCTTTCCATATTTTAATGTAATATAAATATACAAGTCACTTTATTTTGGCTACTTTAAAACACAGCTCTGCCACAACATGATTTCAGTATTAAACTATCTGCTACCACAGCACAATTTTTTGTGAGTCTATCTTTGGACACTACAGTTAATGATATATGTTGGAAACGCTGCAAAAATAACTGCTTTTAAAACCATTATTGATTAAGTCATTATTGAGCCCATTAAAAAACAGAGGAAACTAATTTGCTTGGAAAGGACTGTAATGTACACCACTTACTGTAATACGGTAGATTTGAAAAAAAAAAACTTTTGGAACTAAATATGTCTTTTTATAAGGCTAGGTAAGAGAGTGAAAAGAAACTGGGATGCCTACCAAACCACTCGAACTGAATGGAAAAAAAAAAAAAAAGACTTCAAATAGTTGGAAACTGCTGACAAGACAACCTACCTACTAAGGGAAATTAGATTTTTTATATGTTACACTACAACAGAGAACATTTCTTTAGCATAACACACTCACTTGATTTGCACCTCATATGTGAGGTGGAAGTTCACTGACAATGTTTTTGTTTCTMTATTGGGGGAGCATCTGTGTTTAAAATGCAGACAAACAGTAATTAACCACTAGAATTTCACCAAGTATCATCTAAGCTGCTACAATCAAAGTCAAGAAATGTATTTAAGCTCCAAAGTAACACCAATATAATGCAGTGACTAGCAAGCATGTAATGAGACCTAAAAGGTATTTTTCTCTTGGATTTAAGCTGAAGATTTGCAAAATACTTCATCTGCTTACGTATCTCAGAATTGTTACTACTGTAATACATATGCAATCATCCTGTTCTTTTGTGCACATGTTCAGAAATGCTTGCTGCACATCTGCTACTTGCCTGCTTATTTAAACAAGATGGATATGGAAAGTGGACAGACAATGTCTGTTGTAAGAAAGAAAAGTGCTGGCTGGCTGCTTGGCGAGTGGCTAACCTTCAAAAGAATCCTGTTTTTTGGATTTTTTTTTCCTGACTTGGAATGGAAGCTAGAGTATGTCCCTCACTTCAAACAGTCCCCATGTCATCAGCATGTGAGGAAGCAGATGTTCTCTGGAAAGCTATCCAGTAATAGGATAGGCTCTGGCATACCAGAGCAACTACTAAAAGCATAGCTATAAGCCTGGTGGGTACCTTGCACTCACCAAGTACATTGCAAGCCTTGCAATGACACAAGACACAGTGTCTAAAGTAATCTTTAGAAATCTTCAGGAATTAGCTCCCTAGAGTCTCTCTAGCTCAGAACTGCAATCTGTTTACAACAATTTCTATCTCTATAATGTAACTTTGAGACTGCAGACATACTCTCAAAAAATTAATCTACTAACTTTCAGACAAGTGCACTTATAGGCAGTTCTGGACATTCGCAAGCATCCTGTTTCCACTGTAAGTTTTTCCATTATAGTGTGCCAGAGACACAACATCGTATTAAAACGGTTTTCCTATGCTCACTTGGCTTGCTTCCAATAGCTCTCCAGCAATCACTGTTGCCACTGAACACAAGGCTGTGAATCAGCTAAAATTAAAATGTTGACATTCATAAAGAAATCAAATGGCCTTATTCAAATGGCCTTCTCCCTCAGAGACACTCTGAGACATAAATTCCAGCAGACTTTACAGTACACTCAGTTTAGGTTCAAAGTTTATACCATTTTCTATGTATGCTCTTAACCCAGCTCTCCAGATTAATCTGCAGCTTTAAAATTCACACATAGCCAAATTTCATTCAAGTTAAACCCAGGACTGATCTAAGCCAGTATCCTAAGAGGTGAGAATCRAATAAATGAACGAGTCCTCTCTTGAAGGGAGACTTTGCATCTTGAAGATATCAAAATTTTAAGGCCTGAATTTTGCCTTGCTTTCTATCAGATCAGGAAAATCTCCATTAAGTCAGCAGGCTAGATCATGGCAGCAGAGGATCTGAGTGTGCTCCTCAGAAGAGAGTGGTGGCAGAATTGGATCAATGTGTTGACTGCAGTGGTCAAACTCTCCTTAGCATCAGAGGTAGCAACCTCTATCTTGGCTACTGCACCTTCTGCAGAACCACAAAGCAGCTGAGTACTCCTGGAGCATCGGCTCCTCAGTCACATTTCCTGTTCTAGGGAGGATATGGAAGCAGTGTGGAGAAAAGTCTAATATTCTGAAAGATTTTTTACCCAAGGGAATGCTCACCTGASCCTGTTGGAATAAGGTTCTTGGAAGAGTTCTGATACCAAGACAGAGACTGTTTAGTCACAGAGTTCCTTCTCTAGGATATATCTAACAAGGGTCATATCAGCCCCATTTATATCTATCTCATCTACCTGTTCCACAGTTAATCGAGTAACCACTATTCTTGATTGCCTAAACACATATTTTTGTTACTAATTCAATCTTCCTCCAAGTTGTTTGTTCATTGTTTGTTTTTTAATTCTGGTAAATATTTTGTTTCCTAGATAAAACTAAGATAATATTCCAGAGATTTTCAAAGTTACTTTCAAATGTCAAATATTTGGATTGTATCATTTTAAAAATGCATGAAACAGTAGGAAATCTCCTGAAGACACTGAGGCCTTGTTTCAGCCAGGATGAAAGAAGCACTACACAGTTTTGACATTATGTAAACCTCCTGTAATATGCTAAAACCTCATTGTAAGAAAATGTCACTTGACCTTGTCCTGTTCTGCCTGTAGGAGGTCATTCATTTCTAAAGCATTCTTACGTTGCTACAGAAACAGCAAAAAGAAATCATTTACCAAGAAACTAGTATTCATTTTCTGGCCAAAACTAAAGGACTATCACCCCACACACACATAAAAAACCCTTAAACCTAAGCTCTAAAATGTGCATACTACAGAAAATAACTTGGAACTAAAAAGTGACTGAGTCATGACAACACTTCAATACATTGTTTTAGTACRGTCCAGTTCTCTCAACACAAATAGTTACTTGTCAAATAGGATGGCAGGTCACTTAACCTCACTCAAACACAAAGTTTGCTACGTACAAAAGTAAGAAATGAAATGGGATGACAGTTCTGCTCATGTCAATCAGTATTTATTTCCAAAGGGGTATGTCCATTAGCTCAGGAACTTCACTGACACCAAAGGAAATACTTCAAAATGCAMAAGCAAGATGGGAATATGACAGTTGTCCTTGTCCTAAAAAAAAAAGGCCTTTGTTTTTCATTGACTTTCTCTGAAATTCACATTTAAAATGGTAATTTACTCTCCTGCTTTAGAGTTTTAATGCATGTGACATTAAAGCCAGTAATTGAAATATTAAGTCTGTTCTGAAAATATTTGCCAGAAAAAGGACAGTCACAGAACAGACTATATCTTTCAAAGTTTTCAGACATTCATGATGATCAAACCTTCCTGTGGAGATTGCCTGATCTCACAGTGAATTTGCTTCCTTTTTWAAAAAAATTAATTGCACGTTATAGAAGTTAATCTATTTAGCAGCTAGTGTACAGTATGTTCTTTTCATCTGAGAGCATGCCTTTGGGCAGAAAACGAAATTCTTGCCAGACTTGCTCTTACCACTGCCTCTCTGAGGAGAAATTAGATTAGAAAAACAGTAGTTCTCGCAAACTGCTAGTTCTCCATTGCTTTTCCACTCCTGCCCTCACCATGTTTATCCCTTTATTTTATTTCTGGTGCATGACAATTTGGGTACATCATACAGCAACAACTACAAAAAAAAAAAAAAAAAAAAAGTCAAATGAGTTGTTTGGAGTGCTTGGTGTGTTCATGGTAAGAGGGAAACTTTTCCTCAAGGGTGTTTCTTATATGTTCCCGAATCTTTATGAAAAGTCAACAGAAATAATCACCAGTGCTGATTTGTTTAGCTCCCCCAGTTGACACAAACCTTGTTTGGTCCAAAGGTGAATGGTAGCCTGCACTGATTTCATGCCCTTCAGCAGTTTCTATATCTTTGTGTGAGCTGGGAGGGATCACAGCCAACAGACTCTGTCTGAGGAAAAGTTTTCCATGGCACCTTTACAGAAGGGCTCCAACCAAAACTGCCTATGATGGATCACCATGCACTTTTGAAAGCAAGAGCATAAAAGCAGGGAGTTTTCTACAGTTCATATTTTGAATGTGCAGTGATGTTTAATGCAGCACGAAATATAAAGCTCCAGATCTTTCACCTCTGGATGGTACTTCAAAACTGCAGATGAAGTCAGCCAGTGGCTGAAAGAGGCTGTTTAAAAGATCAGAGCACTATAAATTTCATCAAGTCTAGATTATTGGAGAAGCAAAGTACATTGGTTTGTTCCATCAACAGAGAGGTAGAAACATAATTTCCTCTTCTCACTTCCCAAAGACAAAGAATAAATAAACTTGTTCTCTCTTTATAACAATTACCTGTATGGGATGGAACAACAATCTCCATTTTTAATTACTCATTTACTATATTTTCTATATCACTCTGTCTGTGAACGGTTCCTGTCTGAATGGTTTGTGCTTCAAAATGAAGAGGAGGAACTTCAAAGAGCAATTAGTAACTGTTTCAAAATATTTTGGAAAGAACATACATAAATGAAGGACCTGCACTAGAAGCCTGGGCAGATGTTTTTTGGCGCATCACATAAGAGCAATTTAATAAATTACTGTCCCTAGGGTTTAGTTGTTCTTTCTCTGCCAAAGGCTACCACCCTTGCAACTCGGATAGATATAGGAATTGACCGTGTGAGCTCTTACTACATCCAGTGCAAAATAAATCACTACCGAAGGCAGTAGGAATGTTTGTCTACACCCTTAGTCACCAGGGAACATTTAGTGATTCAGTAAAATTCCACAAACATCTGAGAGCTGGGATTTTTCATTTCCTACTTGACTGTACAATAACTAGAGAGGCTACCGTATCCTCAGTTTTTTTCTTTTCCCACTTTTATGTTAGTGCTGGAACATTCACTCTGACAAAACTGATTCCTCTATATATCAATACCATAAACTAACAACTGTCACAGATTGAAAGGTAAACTCAAGTCCAGTTCCTGATGTGATGATGAACTGAAGTAGTCAGCAACTATACGGCATCACTGACTGAGTAAGTTTGGTGAGAATTCATACGGTGAAGACATCAAAAAAGCTCCACTGGGATTCCCAATACAGGAAAATACTTAAGTACAAAGTGCTTTTGGCAATAAAAAAAAATTCACCATACTATTTTGTTTCCCAGAAGCTATGTTTCATGGAAAAACTATCTGAATTACTAAACACTCTTTTATGCTTCTTTTCACAGCTTTTTGTCATCACTGTTGATAAGTCTATTTCTCCAGAAGTTAAGATCTGTCCCATTCTGTCCCCCCATCAGTACCAGATGGACAAGTTACTTCAGCTCATGATTAATCAAGTTTCCACCTCACTGACTTCTGTAGCTTTTCAGCTGAGTCCCACTACAAGAGACATTTTAGCCTCACAGTCAACATGACTTCTTTTTTTTTAAAAAACTCAGCTTCTATTCTTAGCTTTGAATTCTGAGTATTATCTTTCAGTTCCAAACTTACAAACCTTATATTCTTAATTGTTTACTGTTCTTCACAGTTTTTGTCTTCTTATCCACCAGTGAAATATACAGTGAAATATTGCCTACACGTATTTTACTAGATATTCTGAGGACCTGCTATTATGTAAAATGACATTTGTATCCTTTGATCATCCRGTAATAACTGACAAACAACTCTTGCTAATGTTTTATCTAAACAAGAAAAATAATACAGAATTTTAATACAGAGAATAATGTTTTCAGGAGAATAATGTCTCAAGACAGAGATATGCTCTTTCAAAACAGAAAAAAAAAAAAAAATCTCGAATGGACTATTTGCCCCCAGAGGTATCTGCCTCCCTTCATCAATCACAGAAGAACCCTTGGAAGGTCACAGTGTAAATTTAAGCATTCAAACAGACACCTACATTTTAGTGGGATGCATTCTGTGCATAAAGACTATAAAATTATACTGACTTTTAAAAATTTTCTATTTAAAAGAGATTTTTTTTAAAACCTACATAATAAACAAAAAGAGAGCTAAGAGCCAAGTACACCCCTACTATAACCCCACTAGTGCTGAAGGAGGAGCTTTATTTCCACATAATTCATTCACAAGACATTTTCAAGCACCATGCCTACCAAGCTGGAACAGCAGACTCCTTGCAATACATGCCTGGTCATCACGGCTGCTCTTCCTTTCATGGCCTAGCAGGCGGCTTTCCCTACCCTCTAACAATGAGCAGATGACTATGAGAATGTTCATGGAGAACAACAACAGGGAAACTCTCCTCTCTCATGCAGAATGACAGCAGCCTCCCATCCTTATAAGAAAATCTCTGGTGCCTACTCGTGCCCCTGCCAGTGTTCTGCTAACATTCAGTCTTGCATTCTAGCTCTTGTTACGCAGAAAAAGGRTATCCCTCATCACTCTTACGCCTAGCCTTGATGCTGCTTCTCTAACACAAAAGTAGTCCCTGAACATCTTTCTGTTTCAGTACAGTAGGAACYCTGCAGGTTTTAAAGAAGAAACGATATTTTAACTCCATTAACTAACTCTGTTATATCAAGAACAATCATCAGTAGTAGTAGTAGAAGCAGTAACCAAATGAATGAATGACTGTACAGATAAAAAATGAATAAATAAAAATAATTACCTTCAAGTGTTTCTCCTTCTCCAGAAAGGGCGTCTCCTGCTCCAGAGGCATACAAGGCAGACACAGTCAATGCATACCTAGTCCCCTGGTCTAAGCCTCTCAGCACTTTTGAGGTAGTGTCACCTTTCACAGTCTCTTCCTTGGTTTCCCCTCCTGCGACTGGTGTGTAAGTTATAAAGTACTGCTGCACTTTGCCAGGAGCAGCACTCCAAGACAGCTTCATCGTTGATGTTGTAGCATCAGAAACTCTCAGATTTCTTGGATTTCCTCGGACTGCACATATCAAAAAATGTTGAAAAGGAGTTGAAGTAAGTTTCATTTCTTGGTTTGCACTTATCATAGTAACAGAAAGATTATCTTGTTAACCTCTTCCGTAGACTTTTTGAAAAGGTTTCTCTGGAATTGTATTACTGAAAAAAACTAAGTAATTTCCTTGCAATGTATTAACAATATTCAAAAGCTATTTCGTTTTGGTATGGAAATAAACACATCAAACTCTTATATGTTGCTGACGAAAGCACATAAAAGTCTAATGCAATAACCACTAGGTTTTATTACCACTTGCACTGACACTGATTTTGCCTCAATAAGGATTGCAAGGGTTGACCCAAAGCAATTAGAGACATACATTCTGCTTTTAATTTGACTATACAACTAGTAGAAGGAAAAAAAAGAAAAAAGAAAAAAGAAAAAAGGTCTTCATTTATTGTTGCTATTCCTAGCAGCAGTTTTAAAACAGCTAGCAATTTTTTATTGCATATTGTCCACTCCAACAAGTGCTCCTCATTAAAACAAGATGTGCCAAGTTTTGCTGATTTCATTGGTATGGCCCCTTCTGGGTAAAGAAGAAATACTCATCATGCTAGCCACTCAGATCAAAACAAAAGAATTAATAGCATTAAGTTTTTACTCATATCCCCTCAGATCAACTTTCTAAAAAGTAAATCTTCTCTGGATCAGGACAAATTACTGCTTCTAGGTATTTTATAAAGTGGTTTATTTTTTAAAGTACCACAACATAGAATTTAATGCAGGAAAAATAATTCCTGAATAGCCCAGACTAGCACTAGTATAATATGATTTTACTSTTTTCAGGATTGTACAGTTCCTTCCCTCATCTGCCTGTAGGCCAACTTGTCCAATAAATTCATCATGCTCTATGGATTMATGCAGTTCTACAAATGTCCAATGAATCAACTTGGTCATTATTTTCCTTTGATGGTATGATGCCCTGTTAGAAGATCACAWTTTTTTCTGTCTAAGCAAAAGCCATAGCTACAGTGATAACTTTAGTAAACTGTGTCATTCATGCCTTGCTTCCAACTCTTGCTAAAAGACACATATTATATAACATGGGCAGTAAGAAGAATCAGGAGGACAATTAAACATAATGGTAGATTGTTTACTCAAGCTAGCTTGCCACATTAATTGTTGGAGGGTCAATCTATAGTATTACAGTTCTCATAAATTATATGAGAACTACTTTATATATCTATTATATCAAGCTACCACTTAATTAGGAAATTAAGAGGAAAGRAAAAAAAAAAAGAAAAAAGGCTCTATCTGGGTTATTCTCTTTTCAGCACGAGTATGTCAGCATGCAGGGAGTTCTTCTCAAGCACACTACATTCACAGCATTGACCATGTACCTTCATCAGTTTTGGCGTATCCACTCAGTGAACTCCCAGGCCCAGACTGATACTCAGGAATAACAGACACTTCATATCTTGTATCTGGAATCAAGTTCTGCAGAGTAGTTGACCTTTCATTTGCTGAGACAGTCACTTCTCTCCTCTGTCCTCCAGCAAGTGGTCTATAGGCAAGCCTGTACCGCAGAACATTCCCTGGAGCTGGAGTCCAGCTAACTATAAAGCTGTCAGTAGTTTCATCTGTTATCTTTAGGTTTCGAGGAGCACCTTTAACTATAAATATATATATATATATATCAATATATAATTCGTAAATATTTGCCTTCARTCAAGCAGTATCTGGAGTAAAATCACCACTCATATGAGTACCTAAAGTTATTAACAGAACCACAGCTAACATTGTAAAAAAGTGACTCATAGTTCTGCAGTGTCCAATTCTGGACGGATAAGTACCTTGTAGGGTGGGGGGGAGGTTGGCTACCACACATGAGGTGCAAATCATTCTGCCCTCCCACTGCTTTTAAAGTAAATTCAAGCCATTAGTCATTCCTGAATATTTTAAACCAGAGCTGCAAGTAGCAGTGTAAAAAAGYTGTCTCCAAAAGTACATTAATTCCAACTTATACAACTGCTTCTGCATCTCAGATGATAGTCTGATTACAGTTTAACAGTATCGGTAGAACTGAACTGTGGGAGGGATATCTAAGCACACCGTGAAGAAACATCTTAACACAGGAAATTTTATAGGTTTCACTGTTGTGGCCATTTCCTTCTGCACATTCTCCAGGTATAAACAGTTGCCAGATGCATCTGACTGCACACAGGCAACCCTTCAGTTTTAAGAAACAGCTAAGGTAAAGGCAATAGGAGAAAAAAAGTAATTTTTTTTTCTTCAAGTTAAATTTTCTAAACCAAAATACAACCTGTATCAGTTTAAAAACAGTTACATATTAGTTTAAAAAAGAATTCTGAACTAAGTCTCCATTTTAAAGTTAGACATGGTTTGTTACTGGAGAGGGCACAAAAAATATAGTGTACCGTTTAACCTAACCGGCTCCTTGATGAAAAATATAGCAACAGATCAATTTTTTTCTCACAAACTTAATGGGTATATTAAAGCAGGACCTAACTCCTGCCACATTCATCAGAATCAAATGTATCACAAAATGCCTTGAAGTAGCATTATAATTGAGGCAAAAACTCAAAAACTTGAGTTTTCATATTTCCCATTTACATAAAGTAAATTGAAATTTTACAAAAAGTTGAAATATTATATGCCAGAAATAATATTCTTTGGTTTTCAGTTACAGTCTGGTTAAGAGTAGAGCAATTAATATTTCCAGTTTTAAAGAAAATAGCTTTGTTTTGCACTTATCACAATCACAATACTGTCAGAACTCTCAAAAGCTAAAGTAGTAAAGAAGGCTGTCTTGTCCAAATTGCTAGCAAAGATCTGCACGGAGAGATGCTGACCTTTGCAGGGTTTTAGAAGAGGTTGATTCTCTCAAGACTTTCAAATTTATGAAATCTTGATTGATTAAGATGCTGACAACTATTTAATGCGATAGTAATTACAATAAAATAACACTGGTTATTTTTATTAAAGCCGTTCCTTTTCCTGTCCTTACACTTACAAGCCACAGATTCAATCAGCCAAGAATTTATCTTTTTTTTCCCTAAGGGAAAGTTATGTGTGGCAAAAACATTTYGACTGGTGCCAACAGGACCAACAAAACCTTTATCTTTCAAAGTTACCATCCAAACTAAGCTATTTTATAAACGTGTATTTTTAATCAATCCTACAAGAAAAGCACAATTAACAAATTTCCATGCTTCTCTGGAATCATTTACATCACTAAAGGTAAAAAATGCAGAATGGAAAAATGAAAAAAGGAACTGACTGGTAATAAAAGAAAGATATGAATTGGACTTCTCTGAATATTCAACTACTGCAACAGAAAATCACATTTACTGGAACACTAGTCTTTCAAATCATTAAAAGAGCATCTTGACAACTCTGTCAACGAAGAGTCCAGCTACCATGCTTAAACTTTTAGGCATTCCTCACATAAATTCYAACCAGCATCAACACAAGTTCTGACTCAGTACAAGTTATAGGATCAGAGCCATGAAATTCTGAACAGAACAGCTGATTAAAAACTAAGSCTATGGTAGGTATATAAAAACAGAATTTCTATTAATATAAACTACAGTATAACTAACTACCTAGGTACATGCTTGACTTTAAACGTATTAAAGACAACATTTATTCCTGCACAAGGCTCACGATTATTAAATGTCTATTAATACAAGTCAATGTATTTATTATGTACAGCATTATACTTCATCAGAAAAGAGAAACAMAACTGTAGAGAAACACAGCACCCAGCCAACTTTTAGGGAAATTAAAATTCAATCTTAACAATATAACTTTGGTGTATTAYTGGAATCTTATGTCTTCACTAAACACAAAGACATATTCTCCACCTCCCACACCAATACAACTTCTCAGCACTAGCTGCTAGTTTCCTATTCTCTAAAGTAAATGAATTCCTACTTGAACACTACTTTTTTTTTTATGTCTGCAAATAATGGGAAACGTACCTTCTAAAGTAGTTTCCTCTCCATCCAAGGGAGGGCCATCACCATCTTCATATTCAGCAATCACACTGACTGCATAAGTAGTCTCAGGCAGTAAATTGGTGAGAACTGAGCTAGTACTTGAAGCTGGTACTGAAACAATGAATTCATCTCCACCGACAGCTACTTTATATTTAATGAGATAAGACAAAACCTCAGATCCAGCTGGAGACCAGCTCACTTTGAAACTGTCWGACGTTACATCAGAAAAGACCATATTCTTTGCAGGTATGTAAGCTGCATGGAAATAAAAACACATTTATGAGACATACTTGATAGAATATTTTTTAACACAAAATCTCTAATATAAGCCAAAAACATTCCTCAATTGTACATTTTATTCTGATTGAACAGATGCTTGGTTTTATGTGCAACAGTAGTTGTTCCCCGCACTTGCTTATAGCTGTCAAATTTCATGAAGATCATATCCAGTTTGACTCAAATCATAAGATGAGTAGAAGCACCAACTCAGGAATTTCTAAATGTCATCTAACAAGACTGCTCTTTTCAGATCTGAAAACTTAGTTCAGAATCTGCTAATCAAATTGTTTTCTCTTTTCAGTGTGCCTCATGAGCAGCAATAACATCATGTCCCCATTGGAAGCTGAGAATCCTAGTCTTTTTGAAGAGGACAAAGTGAATCCCAGTATTTTTTCAGGAATGGAATTAGAAGGAGAAACAAGGAACTCGACATGAGGCACAAACACAAACCTGACATCCTGGGCTTGTTTTGGCTGGCCTAGTCAGCCTAACAGTGGGGATGTTAAGACTGCTTGAGCCCTTTAAAACAAAGGCTGCTTTGCTGGTTTATTCCTCAAAGCTATCCTGAAACAAAAGGCTTATTTTTAAAGAGAGTGGGGTTTTCAACGCGAGGGCTATTCAGTGTTAGTGCTCTATGAAATACAAGTAGGGGCACTGAGGGTGCAACTAATAAGTAACTCCAGCTGATGAAAAACTAGACATCTCGACATCCTTTAAATATGAAACATTAACCAAGCTCGACTATATTTGGAAACATTTGAAGACTTTCATGTACTAATTAATTTCAGACTTTACAGTTAGGATGAGATTGAAATCTCACCTCACATTAGCTGTTTAAAATTGTCTTGTCTCTGCAGTTGTTGAAGACAGAGGGCCAGTAAAGAAGGCCATTCATTTCACCCTAAAATTTAATCAAATCACCCTCTTAAATTTTCAACTTTACTCTATTGCCTTTAAAATTGTAAATGACAACTTTAGACTACCGCATTTTGGACAGCTAAGGGAGAATGACTGTAGTGTAACTGAACCTGCTTTGCAGCAGTGTGAAAGCAGAGCAAATGCACTAAGGTCATTCCAGACTGACACACTCTAATAATTTCCTAGACATCTAGAAGGCRAGGAAACAAGTTATTTCTCCAGCATTTTTTCACCTCCATTTCTCTACTAATCTTTTGTCATTGCTTTTAATATCATTGAAAATGAAAACCAAATTCCCAGCTATTAATCATTTATGCATGACCAATTTCATCAACATCAAGTGGTTTATGAGCCTAAGAAGGTAAAAAATTGTTTTGGATTATTTTCTTTTTGTGTGTGTGTGTGTGTGTGTGTGTGTGTGTGTGTGTGTGTGTGTGTTCCTTCAAGAAACAGTAGTGACTTACATTTTTTCCTAATAGCAGCCAGTTCCTGTTCAATCCGTAGGCAGACAGACTGTGTAAGTTCAAATGATATTCTTTGGAAAGCATCAAAATCTTCCACTGTGTAAACATGAGTTTCAGCAGGAGGTGAAGCAATTGCTTCTAACTCTGTACGCACTGCATCCTTCACACCGACTGCAAATATTTCTACATCTGCATCTCTCAGCTTTATAGCAGGTTCCTTGAATGCATCTGATGATTTTCCATCAGTAATAAGAATCATGACTCTTGGCACATTTGGTCTTGATCCTTTGCTGGTAACAAATACTTTCTCCCTCACATATGTCATCGCTTTGCCTGTGTTGGTAGATCCACCTCTGTAGGGGAAGGTGTTAATAGCCTGAATTATATCTTCCACTCTGTTGAATCTGTTCAAAGAAAACTCCATATGGGGATCTCTGCTGTACTGGACAAGACTTATCTGTACTTTTCGAGGTGATATCTCAAAGCTTTTAACTAACACTTCCAAAAAGGCTCTTACTTTAACAAAATTGGCGATACCAATGCTGTAGGAGCCATCCACTAAAAACACAACATCAGCTTTTACATCCACACCACGTGAGCATTCTGTAAAGAGAAAAAATCACCACTATAAACAAGCACTCAATACCAAAAACATTTCAACTGCRTCCTAAATATGCATCATAGCCACTTACTTATAAAATAAGTAAACTGTTTTAAGTTGTTTTTAGATTTAGCAAAGGTATAATATTAAAGTGAGCATCAGAGATGTAAACAACAACAACAAAAAATATGAAATKAATAGAGCAATTGCTAACTTACCCACTTGAACTTTTACTTGTTGTGTTTTTTCCATTATAGTTACTGGCTCACTGGGGGTCAGTCCTTTCATTGCATAAACATTAATTTGATATTCTGTGTCCGGAGAGAGATCTTTTACATTCAGAGCAGTAGTCTGAGGCCCCACATTCAGTGCATGTTGTTTTCCACCAGCTATCATTGGAATGAACTGCACCCTATAGCCAGTTATTTGGCTTGTGGATGGATCCCAAGTGATCCTAATAGATTTTGAGGAGATCTGAGCAGCCAAGAGATTTGAAGGAGGCTCCACCACTGAAAGAAATCAAAATACAATCATAAACAGATTTTTTCCACTCTTTTATTTCTGATTTTTTTTTCAAAAATTAATTTACTTAATTTTTTTCTATTTATTAAAAAACACAATTATTTTTATCATAAATAAACACAACTGAATTACAGGAGAATCAAAAAGGAGCAGCAGAGAGAGATCAGAAATATAAATAGTGCACATGTTCCCCCTGCTAAATGTCACAGAGCTTCCAGGGAAAAAACTSTCTTAGAGGTAAAATCTCCAACAGGAACATGGTAGACAATGTGAATGAATACAGGCACAAGCAGAGCACTATGACAGTCACATTATTTCTGCTGCCATTTTGGGCAAGGAAGAACTAGTTACTACAATCCTTTTACCAAACTGATTTTTCCCTTTGGTATATTTTTGCCATAGAAGTGAAGCCTATGTCAAAATTGGTAGTATGAGACCCTGATCACTCAAAGTTATTATGTTGCTGTAGGAATTATGCAATAATGGAGCTATTCCAGATCTACTTACGGTCCCATGTTCTGCCCTCCTGCATTTACATGTACAATGCTGAAACCYATTTTCTGTACTGATTTCAGAAATAAAGCAAAGAAAGTAGTGACAGCTTCCTCAAATGTGCATCTGAATAAGGTGAAGTCAATAAACACATTTGTATAAAGTATCTCACCTTCTTCTCCACTAACCAATTCACCAAGTTGTTCATCAACACCAGAGCACACTTGCAAGATAATTTCATTCTGTATGTCCGTAATCCCATCAAAATTAGCCACATTGAAAACATGCTTCAGGGAAGGTTGAGATGCAATTACCTTGAGTTCTTTTGCATCTGCTGCTTTGATTCCTAAAAGTTGAAATAGACAGGATCATTTTAAGCAGTCATAAAGTACCAATATTTGTGATTGTAAAGTATCAGAATGTTCTGGAGTAAAGTTGGGTTGAAYTGAGTCCTGTCATCATAATCAAATTAAACAAATGAAAAGTTGATGCAATAAGTTCATAAACTACACCTTCAACTTATGGACTAATGTGATATGYTTGTTAATGCCAAGGTTCAAACTATCTCTGTCGGTCTCTTCCTACCCTCCATGTAAGAGCTATAAAACTCAATCATTGAAAAATTTCAATGTACCTAAAGAAAAAACTTCAACTCCTATGTTGCGAAGCTCTCTTGCAGGAATTTCTACTTCATCTTGAGCTTTTCCATCCGTAATGACAATTGCTACTTTAGGAAAGCCTTTTCTTGCTCCAGCAGACTCAGTAAAGGTGTTTTTAACCAGGTAATCAATAGCTTCACCTAAAAACAACAATACAAGATGTATTTTATTAGGTATGAAAGAAGACTTAAAGCAAAGTTCAAGTATAAGATTGAATGTTGCACAAACACAAACATGAGAAATCTGTACCTGTCATTGTATTGCCACCTTTGTAAGGTATCCTTTTAATTGCATCAATAAGATCACTTCTTTTAAAATATTGATTTAAGTTGAATTCTGTTCTTGTATCTGAACTGTACTGAACAACTCCAACTCTTGTCTTGTCTTCCCCAATGTCGAAAGCTGATACAAGGGCAACCATGAAGTCCACAATATATCTGAAGTTACTTCTCCCTACACTCCAAGAACCATCTACCAGGAAAACCAAATCTGTCACTGCACTTATAGAGCATCCTGGAAAACAAACAAAAAAAAAGCATATAAATATAAGCAGATGAGCAATTGCATGCTTACAAATCAGTGAGAAACATCTGACAGAAACTTAAAATATAAAAGTCAAAACAGACTGGTCTTATCTGAAAAATCTTATTTGGTAAAGTATTGATCACCTAGGAAAATATCCATATATTTTAGTTACCAATACCAAAAGAGAGCTGTCACCCCCAGGAAATCAGTTTTTACACCCCTTTACTGTATTCCACAAGATCTGTTATCCCATAGCAGATGACACCTCATATACATAACTTTGTGAAACAGTTTGATGTTCTGGCTCATTTCATTTTGTTTTCATTTCTGTTATCCATCTTTAGCTCCCCATAATAGCTGCACAGTTTCTTCTGCAATGCTTTGCATCTGCAGCACAATACCTCTTAATAGAACAGACATGCTCATAAGACTGCATGGGGTTGATTAATTAAATGAAATTTGTAGCTTCAGTACCAATTTTGCATCTCATTCCTACAATACAGCTACAAATTCCTTCCATTTTAGTCCTTTCCCAAACTTTCTTAAGAATAGATAAGATTAAAAATAACAGAAGTTTTTTTGTTAAGTAACACTGGAACAGTGCTTAGCTTTGTGGGTTTTAAAGACAGCTCTCAAATAATCTAAAACATTTGAGATCTTGAAAGACAAATCATCTTACTTTGTAATTGAGTCTCAACCTTCTTTTCCTCTGGTATTCCTGGACCACCTGTCTGAACTGTATAAAGCACAATACAGACAAGATTAAAAGAGGAAATGAGACTGCAAATTAAATTTAACATTTAAGAAGAAAATTGAATAAGGAATTAGGCCTTCTAACAAGCATCAGTGTGCAGATACATAAATACAAGTTATGACTACCTTATCTATACTTATAGATTTAATAACATAATATTCAAGGCAAYCAAGAATAAATGAAAAGAAAAAAAAAATAATTAAAAGTTCTCTTCCCTTATGTGTCTCTTAAGTATTTTCCTGAAAATGAATAGCAATCTCTCTGGATACAATACCAATATTACTCCTCTCTAACATACATGGAAAATCCTCATAAGGAACTTTCCTSATGTTGTTTGAGAAGTCTGAGACAAAGTCAGAAAAAAAAATGTATCATAGAAGATAGTTTACTGTAATTAAATTACAATTAATAAATATAAAGCATATAAATGTGAACTCCGTATATTCTTATACAGATATATTGTATCTGTATAAGATATACAGATATATTGTATCACCTGATAGAGTAATAATAGAGTAATTAACTTTTTCTTTTTTTTGGAAAGAATTCTGGACTGATAAATTTCTTCCTGAGGTCAATGAGAGTCTTCCCTTAAGCAGAGGCAGTTTATTTTGAAGTAGGTCTGCTTCAAGAAAACCAATAGCCTCCTGCAAACAATTCTCTACAAGCTGCTAGTCCCCCCTTATGTTCAATAAAATATCTTGGCTTTTACTAAGAATTATGTTTAATGGGGAAGCTATATTTGAGAAGAACTTAAGAACATATCAAAATTTTGTCAGGAAACTGGAAAGAAGTGAAGTGAAGTTCTGTGATTGAACACTTAGCTGAGTTATTTGGTTTTCTAACTTACTGCATATACTTACTTGTCAGTTGGCCAAAAACAGGTAGACTCTCCTCTCTTTCATCATATGAAGCTATTGATACAACATACTCTAGATCAGGTATAAGATCTGATAAAACTGTTTGAGTAGTACTAGGTGAAAGAGTAAATTCTTTAGTAGGTCCATCTACAATAAACATATAAAAGAGTTAATACAACGCTTCAATCAAGTAATATCAATAACAAGTTTCACATAATCAAAGAATAAAAAAGCAATAGAGAATGATCTATCTAGATAGATACCCAATGACAGCTTTAGAGAATACACTTTTCTCTTTCCTAAATCATGATTTTGCAATACTAAACTTCAAACGAAACTGTTTTCAATAATGGACAAAATTATTGAATTTGTTGCCCAATAAATTCCAGGAAATTAAAACCCAAAAGGGGCATACAAAACCTGCTACCATAAACAAATCATGGTCCAATACTGATCCAATATCACTATTACACAGATTATTTCTCTAAGCAAAATGGAATAATGGATGTCTTATACAGCCATTATCAGATGTGTGACATCACTGCTGCTTTCTTGGATGTGCAATATTTCCCTTGGGAAAAGAACTCAAATGAAATACAGTACAATTCCATAATTTAAAGGAAATTTAAGGAAARAGCACAAAGAAGGAGCAAGTGATTCTTTCATCTGGTTCGTTCCCATGGTAAAGCATCTAAAACTACTTGCAGCCTCAAAGAGTAAAAACTATGATAAGAAAAACTCTTCACTTGGAACAACCACAGCTCCTTCGTCTAGACCCTTTGCTGCTATCCAGACTCAATAATAAACTTGAGAAAGATGTGAACATCTATTCTAACACCTAGCTTTGATACAAGTAAGAATGACTGTATATTTTAAAATATTTAATAATATAATAAAATTTTATAAAGCTCACCATTTGTAGGGACCACCGTTATCCTGTAACCCACTATTGCGCCAGGTGGCCTTTTCCATGACATTTGAACATTATGTTCATCTATAATTGTAAAATTCAAGTCTGATGGTGGATCAACTGTAAAAGATTTATACCGGATAGATGTTTAAAAGCTTGAAKGAGCTTTGGAAAATGAATAAATAAAATAACGTTGAGCAAAGCTTACTACAATTGTCTTTGCATAAATTTGTTTCCAACAAATATATAGATATATTGTTGGAAAAGAGTAAAATAAAAGCTGATGAAATATGACGAAACATCAAAGAGAATACGCATTACARAGGACAGCACAGAACATATGTTTCTTGAGTTGCCAAGACATTCAAGAATGGCCAGCAAAATCAAGCACAATAGAAAACACATTTGGATACATGTACAATGAGTTCACAGATAATCACCACATATGCAAACGTTTCACATAACAATTAAGGGAATTTTTGTACATGCTGGGTGCAATTCATACAAGCATGCCAAATCACAACCTGCTTACAACACTATGAGATCATTTAAACATTGAGAATACAGTACTCTTCTTAATTAGACAGCAAAGGATTACTCAGCTTTTTAAGCCTCTGCATAGTCATATTTCTTACCAATTATATTTGACTGAATCTAGAAACTTGGCAGAGAAAAAATATTTTTAGAAACAGAGAGAATGATTGAGCACTTAATGCTAAATAAAGCAATTTTTACTGGGTACTAGATAGGAATATACATTTAAAATGTATACCAGTAATAATTACATATTGAAGTATCATTTTATTTCAAAAAGGTGAGAGCTCTACCCCTTTGTTCCTAGAAGCCACTAAAGTCTAGTTTGCTTATGGCTGCAAAGAGCACAGGAACTAAGGGGTTAATACATAGTAATGGTTGTAATTTGTCTAAATATTTGAGCTCATGAAAAAAAAAATCATAAAATCAAGATTCTACCTGTTTACACCAAACTGCTGAACAATTTCCATGGTGTAAACTTGTTTTCATGTTCCCTTTGCAGCAGGTGTACCCATACTAGTAGTGGCATTTTAACATAAAATGCCAGTATGGTTCCATATAACACAATGGTTAATTATGAAAAGACAACATCAAAGTATATTTATGGACATTTATTCACAGAATTTATAGAAAACAGTGAAGAGGGCGCCAGTGATCTGAACAAATGACTGCAAATAAAACTTGTAGGAGCTGATGACAGAAGTAACTGAACAGTACAGAAAGAAATATGCTATTCGGCAGCATCATGCATATGTACAGAAAATGTTGATTATTATTTTTTTAGCTTCCCACAATGGACAAAAGCCTCCATGTACAAGGTTCACTGCACAAAGACGTTTCATAAATATTTTATAATGATATTCCCTTCGTAAAATTGTCATGCTTATTCATGCAGTATTTTACTGACTCACTGTCAGTGCATGGTAGGTGTATTATACATTATTGTTTAAGTAGGTCTACAAAGTAAGATTAGATTCAGCCATACTCTCCTTCACTACTTTAGACAGTTTTGCAGGCATTTTTAATAGTCAGATCTTCTCTGCTTCATGGAAGATCTCCATCAAATCTCAGATACAATTGGTTGCTTTGTTTTTTAAAAATAATTTAAAAAGCAGATAAAGAAACAAATGCTAGAATGTACTTAGGATAAGTTTCTGTACAACTATAACAAATAATATTGCAATTGAAAAATTGAAAATGAAATATATTGTATAGGCATTCTTTTTGCTTTTAATTTGCTGCCATTTCCAACCATAGGATAATATGGCTTTGTATTACTGATATAACAGATACACTAGTATTGGAGCAAATGTTATTTTTCCTATTGTCCATACACAGGCAGTGAGATTAGACCATTAACGTGCATGCACAGTTTATTCATCATTCTCTTTACTGTAATCACATTGCTAGAGAAAGCAAAGTAGTTACTTAGTATCAAAGTCATGCAACCAGTGTTAATAGTAAAATACATCTAAGTGCTAAGAATATCATTATAAAATATTGTTTCAGTAGCAATGGCTCAGGACAAATTTAATGCAAAGGCAGAGACAACTGACCTGAGCATGCTTTAAAAAAAATCAGTACATGGAAAAAATAGTGCCACCAACCTTGCAAGTAAATTGACCTGTTGCAGCAGAGACTTTAGGCTTTTACTGCTGAAGAACAGCAGCAGCCCAACTTGTTGATATCCAAATGACCGGATTCCAGATAAACTGAAAAACTGACTGTGAGGAAAAGTCTTTAATATTTTAAAGGACTTTAATCCATATGATAATTCAAATGTGGAACTTGGCAGTTAGAAAGAATAGCACAACAATACTTAGTTCATGTATCCTTTCATCCACGTGTTCATAGACTTATAAAACAACTGTGTTGTAGAGGAGGACCTTAGAAGTGCCCCAGTCCATCCCATGACCAAGACAAGGTCAGCCGTCTCATGTCATCCCTGACATGTTTGCTCAGATGATTCTTAAAGACCTCCACTGTTGCAAAGTCCACCAGCTTCCTCTAGGAACAACTCCAGTGACTCAGTTCCTGTATCATCACAGAACTACTCATTCCTGACACCTAACCTGAATCTTCATTGATGCCATTTAAATCCATTCATTCTCATCTTTGTCTTATAAATTAAAACACTTAGTATTTCTCCCATTGAATTCTCAAAAGGACCTTTGCCCAAGTGATAAAAGAAGCAGCTTTGAATCCAATGTCATCAAAATGTCTTCTAGATGAATGCTACTCGAGTGACAAAAGACTCGTCTGGCTTGCAAGCCTTTGATTCTCACACAGAACATCACAAACATCCATAGACCTTCACACGGACCACGTTTCACCCATGTGAAACTGGCTTTAACATCATGACCAAACCATGGTCATATGATTGAATGTTTTAAGTCAATCTGAAGTTCAGCAAAATATTTAGATAATAAAAATCTTACTCTTATAATCAAACACCGCAACTATTATTCAGCCTTATTAAAAATCTTCTTCTGCAAGGGAATGCAGAAAGATAATGGAATGGAAAGATAACTGGAAAGATAATGCAGCTGTAATATGGATGCAGACTTGTATGAACAAAATGCCCTGGTACTGATGGGAGTTGTCCAATGAGAGGCACAAACTTTAAAAATGTCATTCTACAAAAACTTAAGTATAAGAGTAGTTTACTCAAGGAAGCAATCTTATCGGTGACCTATTCACACAAGTGGCCTATTCACTGCACATACACTTATAGCATGGAGTCGATCATCTTGATCCTGCATCCATCAAAAACAATGATCAACCTCTCAAAACCTCTCATAGACTTGTCAAGGTGCAGGATCATGGCTGTAACATGTGGTAGTATTACACTATTCCCATAAGTATTATAATAGATGTGAGTAAGTAAGTGTAATGCTGGAAGGAAGAAATGCACATTTTGCTTTGGAGTGGAGATAGAGAACGGATTCCAAACTGAATTTGCTTTCTTAAGTCATGGAAGTCCATACTTGCACGTAGACTATGMTAAGTCAGGCACAAAAGTCATTGATTTCATTTATGACGTGCAGAAATGTATGGTTCCCATACAAATTGCCAGTGAAGTTAAAAAATGGTGTATGTCAATATACAATTTAACATTTCCATATGAGTAACKTCCACCTCTTTTAAAAGTACCATTAAGATAACTTCCTTCCTTGTATATCACAAAAGAAAAAATAAAACAAACATAATATACTTAATTCATTGCCACTCTTTGCATTATATACATATATAATAACAGTATATTTTCTGAAATCAAAAATATAGAGCAAGATATTTTTCTTAGGTTATGTACGACTTATACAAGCTTGTATTACTTAACAGGTAATACAAACCTAATGTATAAAAGTCTACAGCTTTTTACAGATAACGCAATGTAACTGCTTCAGGATATCAATGAATATCTAGTAAGATTAAAAAATATATAACAAGGAGATGACGCCATTTTAATCTAACATCAGATTTTTAAATGATATAATTTGGAAGAAGGTATCATTCACAATCTCTTTGTGAAACAAAATTTGTAATTTCATCACTGGAAAAAAATAACTATGAATAGTACGTAAATTAACATGTTAGCAGGCCATAGCAGTTGAAGAACAAGCCCAGTCTTGGTCTCACTCAGATAAGCCCATCTGAGGTAGATAGATACCAATATGCCTCATTTACTCTTTTCTTGATCTATGGCATGAATCTGTGTTGACACAAGTAATTATATCACCATCCCAGTCAAGTTCCTCTGTAGTCAATGTTGCCAAACGGAATGGGAGGAAGAATGAATATCAATCTAGCAAGGTAATACAGCAGCCTCTCAGCCTTGTTAGATATCCATTGCCAATCACAACATAAAAACATTGCCATCTGTTTGTTTGCATTTTTTAAATTTTATATATGTATATAAATTTTCTTTAGAATACAAGATGTCACATGAGTATACTCTGAAAATATTTCATTTCAAAAACATATTTATGAAGATGAATGTAACAACACAGTTGTATATACACATGCAAATACTGCATGTTTGTGCATACATATGCATGTGTGTGCATGGGTATCTCTATACATACACATAAACACTTTGCTTCTAGTTAGCAGTAGGAAAAGCAAGGACTTACTAGTCACCTTCATGAATATAGATTGTTCTTTCACACTTAAAATTACTAGATTCTGTAAGGCAGTCAATCTCTCTTAGGGAACTTGGAAATCAGTTACTGGCTTCTCAAAATACAGAGATCAGATATCAACTGGTCCCAACAATCAAATTCTTCACCAAGGAGGTGAAGAACTTGSAAAAAGCTTCAGCTCTTCTGGATCCTCTCTGAACTAGTTAAGTCTATGAAAATGAACGCATTCAACACATGGAGAACTTTTTAATCCTCTATAACTGCAGTGCTGCAATTACTTGTTACTTGGTGTATTTTATGTCTTGCAGACAKGTCTTTAATTGACAACAGTTTTTCTACATGTAGGACTACACAGGGAACAAACACCTTGCTCAGTGATGCTCTCCTTCCCTGTCTTTAACCATATAGCAGACTTTTCTAGGTCTGAATCAGTTCCTAAAAAGTCAAAGACTCAGAACTTTCAAATCAGAAATATAACATGCTACTAATTAAAATACCACAGAAGCAAATTCAAGAGGCACAACCAAAGGTCTAAAAGTCATGCAAGACAAATGATCTCATTCCTTTCTTGGGCCTTTGAAAACCAAATAAAACACACTGCCCAGTCCCAATACCGTATGCCACAATTACCTTCAGATCATAGCTAACAGCTTATTCGCATACCGATCTCCCTGGCTCCCATGATTTAAACATGAAAGCCTTCTTATCTGTCAGAAGGACATAGATTTCCCCTTGATCTTTGCAATCACAGATGGAAAACAAATAGTGACAAATGCTTGACACAAAGATGTACACATAGTGCACTGCAGTGCCACAACGCTAGCTTAAAGAGACAAGAAAAAGATGATAAACTATAACATCATAACATTTGACACAAGAAGTCAAAGCTGCGAGCAGAGCAGTCAGGATAGCAACACAGAAAAAGTAGAATTTGACTCTAAAAGAAAAAGGAAAACGCAGAGCCTGAAAACTGAACTGGCTTCCATGGTCAGGCTGCGCTCAGGCTCATTCCCGGTGAAATACCATGACATTATTTAGACTTTAGTTGGTTTTATCCCCTCTACTGCTATAGTAGATGTCCAAATATAAACTCCTGCACTGGATTATTTCCGTAGGAAGGCTCTATCGTCATGTCTGCAGCTCACTGCCTGCCAACAGCCGCTTCTCTCATGAGCACTGCTCTCACGAAGGACCACAGAGCAGCTGCAACACTGATGAAAAAAAAAGTTTCATCCTGGAGTTATTTAGAAATCTGTGCACATCAGCAGCAGACCTACTCCTAAGCTAGACCGAAAAACAACGGCTAGAGGAGACCAAAAACACCATCTTCTTCTCTCCCTTTGCCTTCACTCCACCTTTCCAGCCCACTCCTACAAGTGGTCACACAAAATGATCTTCCTTTTCCTCCTTTTGCTTTTTCATGGCCTACCTGTATCTGAAGGAAACAAAATTCAAACTGCATCTCTGTTGAAAACCATAGTGAAAGCCATAGGAAAAAAAAAAGTGCAATTCAGAAGCACCAATCATACAAGTGTTTTGGCACTGACAGCCTGGGACAGGACTGGTAGGGAAAGGACAGCGCCAAACAAACCTCAAAGGTAGAGGAACAGACTAACGGGATAAATGTCCACAGAAGCAGCTCAGTTCAGCAGACGGGTGCAAGATTATAATAAGACCAGAAGTAAGATACAATATGCAATGTACAAAACATTTCAATATTAAACCACAGAGTTAAACCAGGACAGAAAAATGGCCAGTTTAGTGTTAACAAACAAACAAAAACACGCTGCAGAAAAGCTCTACAAAAGTAGTTTTTGCAGGAGCAAATCCTAAGGCACCCTTGGTTCTGATATTCCATATTCCGCAYCACTATTTCCCACTGCACATCCTTCTCAAGAGACTTCACTGCACTTCAAAACCTCAGAGTTATGAAATGTTTCTTTAAGAAAGCTGACTGCTATAGATTATGCATTTAACACGAATTTCTGAATGGACAACTGCTCTGCAACTCACAAAACCAAGGTTTTCCTCCCAAAATGTGAATTAAACTAACTTGAGCAGCTTGACTGCTAATGCATCTAGTTTTACCATTACAGTACCTATATGCTTCTCCAAACATATTTTTTCCAGCTTTCACTAACAGTACTCCAGCTAATTACTGTTTTAGTCCACACTACAGCTAGTTTAATCATTCTCACTTCTATTTCAAAGCAAATACCCCCATAAATGCAAACAACGGAGCAGGACAACATGACTAGCACTCAATGTGATCTTTCCAAAAATGGGGAAGAATGCACAAATACACTCACTCTCCTTTTCCCTCAAAACCACATATTTTTTCAGCTTTCTCTGGAGCAGTGGTCCCGCATTTCAAATGCAACTCTGAAATGACTTTAAATGACCTTTTTGGTTCCTCAGCCAACAACAGCGTAGCGTGACAGGGAAGGCAGCAGGCGGATTCCCTCCTAGGATGACCAGATGTTCCACTACTAGCAGAAAATCATAGTTTCCAGAAAGCCAGTCTCCTGAAGTGTGCGTGCCCCAAGCAAGCACTGCTGCAGCAGGAGGAAATACCCTGGAGGAGCTCCTTAGCTGCTGCGCTTATAGCAGCCACGAGCCAAGGCCATCACGTCCAGATGCAGAGAGGAACCCAACAGGCAGCATCAGACAACCGGCTTCAATCCAATACAGAAAGAGGAGGAAGGGAAAAGCTGAATTATCGGAAACTGGCTTCTCCTTTTCCAAAAACATTTGAAGGAGGTCAAATCCAGACGCTTGATTAACCTTAAGCTGGAGTTGGGCCCCAAAGGTCATATACAGTCATTGCAGAGCAGGCATGAAGATGGGCCTTGCATCTTTTTTTTTTTCCTGGCACACACTGTTAACAAAAATACTATTACTACTACTGCTACTATAGCCATTCCACTCACACGTAAGAACATAAACAAGGTTACCCCCGTACTCGCTGTCAGTCCATCAGGGAGGCAAGAGCTCTGGAGACGGATCATAATGGGCTGCACCATGGTGGACACCTGGCCACATGGCTCTCTCCCAAGCTTCATCCTTGCATCGAGAGGGAGGCAGGATGCTGCTGGGGACCCGCATCTCCAGCAAGGCTGGGCTGGGCCCCTCAACAAGAAAACAAAGAAGACAACGAGGATGGAGAAAAAAGGCCCAAAAGAGCCCAGGGAGCGACGCGTCCCCTCCGGACCGGCCCGAACAAACCACACAAGGCGCAGAGAGACGGACTCTGTGGGAGCATTTTATTTCAAAGCTTTGGGGTGTGCTGTGTGGGTTTTTTTTTTGTTTTTTTTTTTTTTGTTATTACTCTTTTTTTCCTCCAAACCAGACAGAGTCGAGCACGGCTCCTCAGTGCTGCTGGCAGCCCGCAGGCTGCTCGGGACGGTGTGGACAGCACACCAGAGAGACAGAGAGGAGGAGCTGCGCTTTGTCTGGGCTAGCTGCAAGAAAGAGAGCACAGAAGGAGCTGGGCAAGGAAGGAGAGGCGTTTCTCTGAAGGAGAGAAGGAGAGAGAGTGCAGTAGTTACACGCAAAAATAGAGCAGAGGGGAGCTGGAGAGGGGCTCGCTGGTCGCCCAGCGGGCCGGGGGGCAGAGGTTACCTTCGGCCTCTGCGCAGGAGAGCAGGGCGGCCGCGCAGAGGGCGGCCAGCGCCGCGCACAGCTCCGTCTTCATCTCGGCGCCGCTGGGTCACAGCAACATGAATGAATCTGCAGCCACAGAGGGGGTTAAAAAAAAAAAAAAAGAAATAAGGAAAGAGGAAGAAAAAAGAAGGGTACAAGATGCCCGGATTAGAGGGCAGTGTGGGTGTATTCATGAAACACAAAAAAAACGGAGCACTGCAGATGCCACTTTGTTCCTCTCTCCCCCAGCCCCCCGCCCACGGGACCAGGTTGGAAGCTCTCTCCTTGGAAGCCGACTTGAAACCGCAAGGTCTCGCCACGACTCACACAGGGTCCCGCCTGGCAATAACGGGCCACRCGTCCCCGGCACGGCCGCGTTCCCGCCACAAGCCCCACTCCATGGCCGCTCCACCAGCATCACTGCCACCCCACAGCCCCCAAATGTCTCTTCCAGCTGGGCATTTCATGTGGTTCCTTTTCCACAACTGCTGAAGCACTTAGTTAACCGCATTTTAGTGGTCTCAGGGCAGTTTGGAAAGTGCAGTAAAATAACTTTTTTTTTTAAGGGGTTCTGCCTACAACTGTGCAATTCTTCATTTCTTGAAGGGCTGAAATAGATTTTGCAGAAGTGCGGGTAGCTCACAGCTGAAATCTGAAACGTCTGCCTAGCCACCACGTTTCAACATCTGATAATTCATTTACACATTCTCGGAGAAAATGCCTTTAAAATACATTGTAAAAAAAGTAGGCAGGAGAATGAGTCTTGCAACCACTATAGGTTACCTGACAAAATAGGTGGGAATTAGGCTGATTCAGTGGCTCCTGACTGCAAGCAGCATTCCCTTTATAACTCTATATGCTCAAGGTCACAACAAATTACCCCAAATTACTGCAGTAAAACTTCCATACAGATTTTGTCTAGGTAAGAGTTAATATATACAGCTTTCATTACATACATAAAAACATTTCATTACATACATTAAAAAGTGCCCTTTTTTATGCTCAGTAATAGGGCAGGGTGATTTATTTGAATAAAGTTGTAAGTACCTCATATATCATAATTAGGCTGGAGGAAAGAGAATTCTACCAGCAACAAGGCAACAGATCTCACAAGTAAAGTGCCAAAAGCCAGACAAAAAGAGAAAAATACATGAATCACYGCTCCGCAGAAACAGCTAGAGAGGAGTATATTTTCCTGCCATCTAAGGAACTAAACGGCAAAACACGTTTCTTTAGTGGCCAGACACTCTCGAGATCCAAGAACACTCTTCCCAGCTACTGGCACCGAAGCTCACAGCTCCCTCTGGACTGCTGCATACTTGCAGCAACCAGGACTACCAAAAACTACAGGAAGAAAAAAAGGAGCAATTGTTTCCGTTCAATGATTCCTCCCGCAAGCGCAAAGAACTATGATATTGACCATAACAAGTCCCCATCTCTAACATAAGAAGGACTGAAATTTAATATTAATTGGTTCTAGAGAGCTCCGTAACCCTTTCCCTGCTCTGTGTGGGAAACGGCAAGCCTGGAGGACATCCTCCTTGTGGGATGTTGCAGGAGCTCCCCGGCCTGTGAAACTCGGGGCTAAGGGATTTTAGTGCCTGCGCTGTTGTGTGGGCTTGCAGTGCCATCTTCTGATCCCTGCAAAGCGCACCAGAAGTGAACAGGCGCGCAAAGTCAGCTAGAACTTCATTCTTTGCTGCTGCCTCAAGACTGCCATGCCTCAWACATACATATATTTTATGGAAGAAAATTATCAGCCGAAACATGCCTTTTACCACCTAGCCAACACCACCACCTAGCCAACACCTCGTTCCCTTCTCTCAAGCTTGGGTGTTCTAAAGGAGGCAGAGGAAGCAGACRCTCCTGGCTGTATTGGGACAAAAGCAGACTGCGGAGCAGGGCTAAAGGTTTTACCCCTGATCTTAAGCGACCACTTGAGAAAAAATAAAAAAAAAAAAGCAGACTGCGGAGCAGGGCTAAAGGTTTTACCCCTGATCTTAAGCGACCA